AATAGCTGGTCATAGAAATGAGAGAGTATCACCAGAATGTTGGCAAGAAACAAGAAAAGACCATCAGGTGGCCATCCCGTATAAGGAATATCCTAAACCATCTAGAGGATATATCGCGTCCATGGCATAGTAACAGCCATAAAGTATCATTTATCTATCATAGGCAATTACACGTATTCTTTGTCTCTTCTCTGATTATGACGTAGTGAAACTATTAACGAAGTCGAAAACATTTGAAAAGTCGAGTTCTAGATAAAGAGGAAAAAGATGTCCAGAAATTGCAATTATGTCTTAATGAAACAATATATCATTTCTAACATAAACTAATAAAAAAAAAATATGCAAAGAAAACAAATGCTCTTCATAAAAGTTTGAAAATATTTTATTAAAAAATCATTCGATGATTTTAAGATGTCAAAATAGTAGTCTAATCAGAGACGAGACTAGCTGTGTCTGTCTAAATATAAATTCGAGATATATATTTCCCTTGGTGGTCCTGGAAAAACAGACTCGTACATATCTGCGCCGTGCTACCATCTTCGCTTCACTTAATAATAGTCAACAGATGGTTTACTACCAAGCAGCCATGGAGCGGACTCCGATAGGCGGGAGATTTGTTCTGTTCATAATCATATACTGGTGCGGCAGAACTTTAACAGAGTAAGGAATCATCCTAGCTCCCCGGGGGACGGGCAGACGTATTCTCTCTTCAGACAATGCGATGCTCTTTGAAGGCATGGATTGAATCGTCCTTGTGCCCATCATCGACTTTTCAGCGGGTTCCTTGCCAGACAAATCGGCAATTACAGACGACATTTTGTTCTTGGGAGTATTTTTTTTACCGCGAGCTTTAAATCCCGGCATGTTGATAGGTTGGCATGTTTCCGTAGATGTAAATTCCTTTAAATTTTTATCCGCCCTCTTCTTTGAGGGTGTCATCGTTGGCACATTTTTAATTGGCGGCAAAGAGTAATCGGACATCGTCCCCTTGGTTCTTTTCTGGGTTGAAATTTTCTTTCCAGTCATTGTTTTTCTAATATTGGCTGAAACAGAACAACAACACAGTCAAATAAAGTCCATTGCGATCATTGTCTTCACTCGAAAATAGATATAGGTAACATTTAAACTATACTATCAAACAATAACTAGAACACGAAACAATATTTAGGATAATTTTATTGATCGCTTGATTGCTTATCACAAAAGACAAATACAAAATGACAAACATTCTACAATTTAAGTTGGCAGTATCACATAGAATGGTCATCTTAACTTAATGCAGACTACAACATAAAACCATTAGCGGTCAAGACTCGACAGGGTTAGAACTGACCAGTTCAGCTAGCATACATATGGATCCCCACAAACGATCACGATCATCATATTTCCAACTGACCTATTTGTTAAACATCTGCCAACTGACCATTGCAACAAATTACGATGCATATATTCTGATTGGAACATTACTGACCAATACCAACAATGTCCTAATTGATTAATACAAGGACTACAGCGCAAAATTCTGCATAAGACCATTTGACGACGATGGCGCACAATGTTAGAATTAGCCAATAGCCGGGACTAACCGTGACACAAAAAAATAAAAACAAAGGCACAGCATATCGTTAACGTGATCGATAGCCTCGTTATCACAAAAAAAAAATGACATCCACAAATAAAACCAATCATCAAACGTCATCAACAATCTGCGCGGAAGCCAGGACAATAAATCTGAAATAACAAATAAAAACTTAATTTATTTATCAAATCTGCACCGCGAAAAAAAGTGACGTATTTTATTAATTGACTGTGCAATATTTTATAACTGCATGGGAAATCAATGATTTTTTTTTTATTAGTAAGATCACGTGGAGGCAATCGGCTAACCTCGGCAGATTCCGGCACTCCTTCGGGTACAGAATGGGAGGTGGTGACTAACGGATTCAAGCGACTTTCTCTCCTTTCAGTCTCAAAAATGGCAAAAATATTATGTTGCACTGTTTTAAGTCAGCTTGTTAAACGTATTTATTTTGTGATCGCTTTCAAAGACTTTTTTTCGGTCTAACAGACTATTTACCTAGCGAGGGACGGGTAACCAGTAGTTGATCTGACGCTGGATGCACAGTGGAAACAGAACCATATGCTTCTCCTCAAAATGACTGCAGTATCTTCTCTCCCAGTACAGGTCATCCCGTGGCAGCTCTTTGGTCAACAGCACGGACAATTCGAGTCCGTAGTTGAACAGCATCATGGCCTTTGACCGCTCCGCGAAATTGGCTTTGTCCCTTTTACGAGAGCCGGAGGGCTTCCATAAGCATCTCCTTTTGACCTGACAAGGGGCAGTTCTGCAGTGACGGCAGAGGGTGGGGCCTGTACAGACAGATATATGCATGTTATGGTATATTTTAGTTACGACGGAGGGAAGTCAATTAATTAAACAAGAATTCAGTCAGAATCTGCCAAACAGATTATTTTATGAAACTAAATGAAGATCATATGTGTTTCATGAATAAATATCATACATATTTCGCTGAATGCATTTACTTAGCAACAAACGCGCGGGGGGGGGATTAAGATGATTGCAATCTACAATAACGTATTTGACAGTGATTGGTTGTATCGACAAAAAAACCTGGAAAATTGGAAATAACCACATTTTCTTTTCAGAATTCAAATCACTTACGCGTTCTCCATTCTTGGAACATTGACACCATGGCTGACCATTTCTCTTTGGCGCTGTTTCCAATCGACGGCGCACAGCCCAACAGCAGGGTTAGAAGTACACATAACAGGGTACAGAATACCTCATTCCCAATTCGCTAAAATAAATTAAATGATGATTATTTACTGGGTATTATACTTACATGCATGTATATATATATATATATATATATATATATAAAGAAACGATGTTGCCGACTCCCGATTTACTACATGTTACATCGGTTAGAAAGCCAAAATTGTCGTAAATGCAAAAACTTCTATTCTTACCCATGTCAGATCGGCAGGCGTTGGACATACTTCCTCAATTTCAGCTGCGGAGAAATAGTGAAACAGTCTTTGGGAATATCTTGGTTCGGGCTCCACACTACAGAAAATAGTATGTTAAGTTAAAATGAACAAGACGGTGTCATCGACATCCCCCGCTCGTAGTGCAAAAGTCATCAAAAATATGAAGCGTAAAATGTAGGTCAAAATCAGCATCCGCAATATACATTCAGTAGAGTAACCATGGATACACAATTGATGTAAGTATAATCAACATAGCACTTGTAAGTAGACAAGATATAGATGAGAGCAATGCTTCTTAACTAGGTGCATGGACGGGCGCACGGACGGACCCCATTACTTTATCTCCCGCCAACTCGTTGAGCGGGAGGCAACTATTTCTTGGAATTACATCATGAAAGTTATTACGTAGACTCCTAAAAACATTGAATGTCAAGAAAAGTAAAAACTTACCAAGTGAGGTCCCGATATACAGCAGGACCGTTGCGTATGACGCTCAGCATTACCACATATATCAAGAATAGCCTGATAGTCATTGTGGCTATCCAAGATTTAATAAAAGAAATAAGAATTAGGGGAGAGACTGATCATCTCCGCCTTACAAGTTGCTAAGCAGTTTCGTAACAAGTATATGACGTCACAAATGGCTTCAATATTTTACATCATGACGTCATGCAATTGTTTTCCACAAGGTCAAAAGTGCACTTTGAGCAGTGTGTATTCTTCAGCTTGACGTACAAACTGTCCCGGACCCGAGCTAGGGCTTGTCAAACTGCCTCCAAGAACTAAACATTAAACATATCTTCATATTTAGTCTATCCTCGTACCACATTGTTGCTACATTATAATTTGTCTAAATCGGCCGCTGTCTAATCAGGATATTTTTTCTATACTGGCTCTGACCTTTGGTCCGGGTATTTGCTCTTGTATATCAGTCACTGTTTGGATCACATTTACTCGCTTTATTACATCACCAACAACAGAAAACTGAAAAACCTCTACATTTGTATGCTTTGACTTTGTTGATCTACGTAAAGCGTTTGATACAGTTAATAGGGACTGTTTATGGTATAAACTCTATGCATTTGGCATTAAGGGTGCTTTCATCGATGCCGTCAAATCATTATATAGTCACGTCAGTTGCGCGATACGTTTAAATAATTACGTCACAGATTGGTTCAGCGTCACACAGGGCGTAAAAGAGGGCTGTACTATTCCGCCTGCTTTATTTTCCATCTACATTACCGACCTGGCAAGGGACATTAAGGCTCTACAGTGTTGTGTTAAATATGATGACAATATGATTTCGCTGTTTTAGCAACTGATGAACTCTCACTTCAACGAATGCTGCAATGTCTAAACAATTGGTGTAGAAAGTGGCGACTTACGATTAACAGGGATAAAACGAAAGTGGTACACTTTAGAAAACCTTCAACACCTCGATCTCGTTTTAACTTCAAGTGCGGTGTTTTAGATATTGGTTATATTGATCGCTATCGTTACTTAGGGTTCTGGTTTAAGGAACATCTTGATTTGAAACTAGCAGTGCGCGAACTTACTAAATCGGCAAGTAGAGCCCTAGGTGCAATAATTACTAAATCCAAATCCGCGGGAGGGAAGTCGCTGCTAAATCGCAGTTATCAAACAACTATACACGTCACTTGTGGAACCTGTTCTATTCTAAGGCTCTGCAATATGGGGACATAATAATTCTCGTTTCGTTCAAACTGTCCAAAACCGCGCCTGTAGATTCTATTTAGGAACAGAGAAAAATGGCTCCAATATCTCCGCGCGAGGTGACCTTGGATGGAACTCCAGTGAAGTTTTACCAAAAGGTTGAAGTGTGGTTAAATTTGAAATTCACTGAAGATGATAGATTACTGAAAAAAACTCCACAACTGGCCTATTACTGTCAGTCGCTGTTGGGAGAACAGAGTTATCAAACTGTTGAGAAATAATAATTTGGAACATTTACTTTCACCATTAAACTCGGTAAAGCAATGTGTGAAATTAGTTAAATTCCATTTTACTAGTCTGGATAATGAAAAGTGGCTTATAGATTTACATAATGGCCGTAATTGTGATAACGGCAATAAGTTGAGAACATACAGATTGTACAAAACTAGTAATTACACGGAAACGTATGCCTCGAGTATTATGGTTTTCAAGTATAGACAGGCATTAGCTAAATTCCGCAGTGGTAATTTAAGGCTTTGAAACTGGTCGGTATTATCGCCCTAAAATACTTTTAGATGATAGACTTTGTATATTTTATAATTTAAACTGTATTGAAGACGAATGCCATTTTCTGATTGTATGTGATTTTTATTCAGATATCAGAGCTCATCTTTTTACAACAACAGAATGTTATATCCGGACCCTGTCTATTCTGGAAACTGGCGTTATGTTACATTTATTGATATAATTTGAAAAGGTAAAGCAGGGGAAAAAATGGTAGCTTAACTAAATCTGTGATATTTACTGATTTAGAATTTTGCATAATATAAGCGTTTGCATCATAGACACCCATTTTTTCAACTTTAAAGTTCTAAGCAGAGTGATCCTTACCATATTTTCAGCCATGACAGACAGTACAAGCAGTATTTTGTAAGGAATATTCACATTCGGGGACACATAGGAAGCCAAGAAAAGACCTGCGGTAACCCACTGTATGTGTATCGTGAAAGGCGACTAAGTTCGGGCTCCCTTGCAGACTCCGGGATTTTCTTCATTGTCTTCTACTAAGGCAAAGGGACATTGAAGAGATAAAATTTGTTTATTTTTCGTTTCCTGTCTTTCCTGTCTTCTTTCTTTCCATCTAACTTTTCTTCACGACGTTGTCTCCATTGGCACCCGCCCTCATACGATTGCTGTTGCGAGGACATTAAACCCAAAACAAACAAACAAATAAACAAAAATGATCTTCATCATAATCTAGGATGTTGTACTCTGACTTCGATGCGATAATTACCTGCTGATTTAGTGTTGCACACTACAGACAGGGGGTAAAACAGGGATGGTTGTTTTCACCTCTCCTCTTCAACTTTGACATCGACTGGATTANCCCTGTGCATTTTGGTTATTCAGAAGAAGTTGTTTAAAGGTTTAAATTTGCTTCTGGCCAAATAACGACATCCTAGGCCTTTCGGTTATTAAGAAGAAGTCGTTTAAAGTAAAATATTGACGCCGTACGGACGCCGCGCCACAGCATAAGCTCACTTGGCACTTTGTGCCAGGTGAGCTAAAAACACTGTAATTTTAAAATATTTTTTTCTATGGACATTACTGTGATTCTCTTTGTCGTATTTCAAATATATTGTCTTCTATCAAGTCAGAATCAACACTGTACATTTAGGCACAATGGACCTACTTGTGAAATGCGGAAAAAAAATACATGAAAATAACCTCTCCAGTAGGGCTACTTTGGTGTCTCAAATCCTAAGATAGCCGCCTGGAAGCCATCTTGCTCTCACAATTAGTCGAAGAATGTGTATGCACAAATAAGCACAATTGGTAACTTATCCGAAAATCGGATGTTCGAGCAGATTACATTGTAAACGAAGCCATGTAACCGAAGATCTTAATAAGATTTGAACGGGAAATTTTAGAAATATCCTACAGAGGAGTAGTAATAGAAAACTTAACACTCAATTATGGCCACCTGGAAAAAACCCGATTTGTTCTTCTTTCAATCCCAAAATAGTTCAGGCTCAATTAAGGACAAACAGTAATCTACTTGTGATATTTGAGCAAGATCTACAGTACTTTCTAAGAAATAGCAAAAACAAAGCTTTGGATTATCCGATTTGGTCGCCTGGCAACCATCTTTTTCCTTAAACAACCAAGGAACACACGGGAACCTACCTTTGTAATTTTAACAAGGTCTGCTCTGGGTTTTTTTTAATACTATTTTTTAAAACGGAGGACCGACAACAGGTGCAAGGCGACTTGAACAATCAATCATCTGGTGCTCTAAAATCTGCATCGCATCTCTCAGCAGTCTTTAAAAATGTTACCACAAATTCTCCAATTGCGTTTCGTTGCGTACCAAATTATTTTTTAGAGTAATACGTCAACATCGATCTCTATTTACCACAACTTATTGTCCCACCTTTCTTAATCCCGAAATATGGCGCAGGGCTACTTCGTGTAACCTTTTCACCCATTCTTCTGTATTACTAATTCCTATTCTGCTTTCTCTTTTTTTTCAACGGAAATGACTCAATTTGTTTTTACAAAATTTAAACTCCTCAGTCCAGGGTACTCCTATACCATAAGAGGCCGCTGGTCAGCCTTTTTTCTATCGGATATGATTTTGTTACACGGCGTCTGTCAAAAGTATCTCGCCGTGTAAACCTCTAACACTGTTGGAGTACAGTCCAGGGATGTTTCATACTAGATACCAACAGCAATATCAATTCTAGTACCTCCTATTGGAAATGGACTTGGTCGATCTTTGGCGACCAGGTAGTCCAATTGGTAGAGCGTCTGTCTACGAGTTTGGATGATCCCGGGCTTGAACCATGGTCTGGCCGTATATTTTTCCTATTCTGTTGTTTCGAGCATTTGGTGTATGCTTGGCAAGGGGATACCCGAACCTGGGTTGTAAATACTAAATAGTTGTGTCTTCTTGAGTGAATACTTAGAAAAAAGGAGGAGAGGAATGTATTGGAACTGAATCGGGTTGATCGTCTGCAACCAGGTAGCTCAATTGGTAGAGCCTCCGTCTAGAGTTCGGAGGTTCCCGGTTCGAACCCCGGTCTGGTCGTGCATTTTCCCTCTCCTGTTGCAGAACCAATCCCTCTACTCACACGAGAGATTCATCCTTAAACAACATTTCATCCCAATGTCCAAGGAATACTTCAATACTTCGTACAAAATTTGTCCAATTTGACTCGCCCTTCATTCATACAAAATTAAATCAATGTAAGCCAAGGAATGCTTCACACTGGATTTAGTCCAAATCTGTCCATCAAACTTTAAGGAGTAGCCTTTTTTATTCCTTTTCCCCTCTACATCCCCTTCAATAATACAATTCTAAATCCCTTGGTTTCAAGGTTGTCTAATACCAATGAAGCCGCCAACAAAAACAACAAACGATTTCAAATTTCTTCCGACATAATTCATTTCACTTCCAATGACAATTACAAACAAGACAAGCTGACGATCTCGATAAGAATGATAAATTGATGAAGATGATGAGAATGGTGATGAGATAAAATGGATGACTATGACTTGGATGCATTGATGCTTGTCCACATGATAAAATCTGCACACATACAAGACAACAGTAAAATGATATTTGGTCATGCGTATGAAAATAATGCTCCATAGAATTCAGCTGCAAATATCTGTATACACTGTGTATATATATATAATTTAGTTTTTGACACATGATTCTTGAATGTCCATCCGCTGATTTGAACTATTTGTTTAACTCATTCACCCCTGAAATTTCATAATGAACTATTCCAACCTTTGAATTGGAAGATCTCTAATGTATCTTCAGGGGTGAATGAGTTAATGAGTTGTGGCTGTGAATGAATAGCAGACGACTGGTAAATTGACGATCTGAAATAAAACAGAGAGTATGACACATGTCTGCCGAGTAAAAAAAAAAAAAAAAAAGGCTTCAAATTATCAAATCTCTGGTTTAAAATCACATATATTTAGCATCTGAAAATATAACCTTGATCTGGATTTTGATACGAAATGAAGAATGTCTGTTCATCTCCTAGCCATAGCAATGCTCAAGAAAAATTTAAGTATTTACATCAATATGATTCATGATAATACCATTGAAATGTCAGAAGTGTCTTTTGATTACCATTCACAAGTAAAAACAAATTGATAACAATACAAAAATAACACGTTTTACACAAATAAGGACTTGAACACAAGTAAATGAAATTGGACACACAGAATGGAATTCCTTAATTTCTTCACCCTCCCAAGCCGAGTCAACGATTGTAAGAAATATGATTTCTCCCCTCATGCATGATTGATTTCAGTTAGACGGCTTTCGAGATTGTGTTAACCTGATCATATCAAATTGAACGTGGTCAATGGAACTGTAACCATCTAGCTAGGCAATCCATCTTTACAGATGATTGGACCAAGTCTCGGACTATGACCACTACCTATGGAACTTGGAATGGCACTTTTCACTGCTGACAAAATTCAACAAGTCATCAATTCAACATGTATTGTTCTTCACTGACAAGCATCACATGCTAAAAAAATGTTTTTAACATCTCAATTTTCTGTCCATCTTTCTCAATATCAAATTTCAAAAACAATAAGAATTTTTAGTATGTCCGTCGAATTGCTCCTGTCTGCATTTTGTAGGCGTCAAACCTCGGCTCAGGTTGACGTCCTGTTGCGATATTGCCTATGATCATGCCAGACTGTTGTGGAACAGACGTCATGTACACGTTAGGTGGGACGCTGATGAGGCCTGTGGCGACAGGCTGGGTGAAGCTTGTGGGTCGCGCCTCCTGTTGCATGGTCACTCCCCCTGACCAGCGGTCCTGCTGCTGCGTCGCCACACGCTGCTCCATGTTACTGTGAGCGTTATGTGAAGTCCAGGTGCTCTCCATCTTGCCTCGGTTGTCGGTGCCCGACCCCCACTGACGGTTCTGACTCTGCGGGGCATTTCCTGTTGTCAAATGAAAACGAATATCACAATCCATTTTTTTCATAGGAATAAGAAAGGGTCATTACCCTACTTTTGTAAAATTTACTACAGCATTTCTCAAAATAACTGGTCAAAATTGGCATGACATATTGTAATTACGATATTATGTGAATACATGGAGAGCGTGATTAACAAAACAGGCTATGCTTGATAACTTGATAACTAATAGACTAACACTATCATTGCAGTCAAAACTATACTTTTCAACAACAATGTCATCGGTATTAGTGCGTGGTAAAATTATACATAGGGTAGGAGGAAGCTGGTAAACAATCTATGGAAAATATGAGTGGATACTTGCATGGGGAAGAAAATGCATCACACTAATAAAATAAATACATAAGTACAAGAGTTTTGTTTAATAGAGAAACTTACCTAGAAGACCAGCACCACTGTTGTGGCCACTGAAGCTCTTGTTGCCACCACGGTTACGGTCGTCCTGGACGACATTCGAGTAGTTGCCATGGGCACCACCATGGGCACCACCGTGACCACCTTGCCAGGAGTCGCGTCCTCCGCTGGCCATGTTGGTCTGACCTCTCACAACAACCCTGGAGTCAGCCTGCTGTCGCGTATCTGAAATACACATGACATACTGTTGTAGTTGGACTATCACTTGTTGCTTCATGCACACAAACTGAATTATTCATTTGACAGTTTTTGCTCCCTAACATACAACACATTGAGATTTATTTCTTGTGGTGTCTAGTCTTGATCTTTTAGTAACACAACATATCATTACCTTCTTGCACAATTTAACAAAAAAAAGAGAGATTTTTTGGACTTATTCTCATACTTGAATATTTAAATAAGAGACCTATGGGCCATGTATGGCTCTTCTGTTTAAAATTCAGTCAAAACATAAATGAAGCTTAACTGTTATTATACAAGCCATTCGGATTGATATGTCTCACCTGTGCCCCACTTTGTCAATCAATGCACATGTCAAGTTTGGTTGGTCTAGCACAGAAAAACTATCTTAAACGCAAAAACTTGATGTTGATGGAGATGCTGACAAAGTCAATGGACCATGAAAGGTAGGCCGCGTCCAGCATTTGATGCATGGGTCAAGGTGTACTACCTAAGATGATGATCTGTAGTCCAAGTTTGGTAGGTCTAGCACTTAACTAACTTAAACGCAAAAACCTAATATTGACGCCGCCGTCGCCATAAAAGCAACACCTTAGTCTCGCTTCCGCTACTTTGTGGCGGCGAGACGAAAACAGGCCTTTACGTTTGCCACTAAAACTAAAACTTCATTAATCTAGGCACTGCAGTTCTTTGATACATGTTTTAAAGTTTTCAACATAAAAATTTCAGCGTTGTGGCTTAATAAATGTATTTACCTCAACTATTTTTATATTTTACTTTTCTCAAATTTAAATTATTAAGAATCAAGGGTGAAATAGGAGTGAAAACTTGCCATTTTAAATTTTGTATGTGCAACTGACTCTTTGAAAAGTTTACTTCACACACTTAAAGGACCATATGAAAACTCTTTCAAATACCAAATACCTTCAAAGACTGCCTCACCTCGGTCTGCCTTCCAGTCGCCTCTGTTGTCATTGTGTCGTGGAGACGTGCCCCTAATGTTGTGTCCCCCTCCTACGACCCCCATGTTACGATTGTCCCTCTGGTTGTCCCGGACGTTTCCACCGCGTCGGTCATCCTGAGCCATGTCCATGCCTCGTCGGTCATCCCTCACATGGTCCCGAGTCTGGTTGCGGTTGAAGCCTGTGTCTCGTCGGTCTTCGCGCATGTTGTTTCTGTCATGTGACCTGTTTGCCGTGTCGTGTGCCTGACCATGGTTTACATTCCTGTCGTATGATCTACAAGCAGTGTTTGTTGTATTTTACCTCCATCGGTCTTTCCAACGATTTTTTTTACAAAACTTTACATCACTTAATATTGGCATGTGTTTGGTTTGTTTAGTTTGTGTTTTATGTCCTATTAACAGTTATTGTAATTTAAGGAACATGCCAGGTTTTGGTGTTGGAGGAAAACTGGAGTGCCTGTAGATAAACCATCAACCTGTGCTAAGTACCTGGTGACGACCTTACGTAAGCATCAAACTTGTGACCCAGTGGTGGAGGGGCTAATGATCATAGACAGTCAGACATCTTAACCACTCGGCTACCCCGATCCCTTGCATATATTTATATTCATATTTAAATGATCGGATATTATGCAATGAACTACCATGTGTATCCTTTGCTTTAACATACAACAATATGCGAATTTATGTGGGACAGAAATATACATTTGCGAGATATTTGAATCAATTATCAACTCTCCCGGGAATAACGTTCAAATAATGCTCACCTGGCAAATCTGTCGTCTGTACGACGTTCGTCTCTCTGTTCCTCACGGAAGTTATCCTCACCCCGTCCACCGCTGCGTCGGTTTTCTTCAAACTGTCGCCCACTTGCCCTGTTGTCATTGCCACGGTTCTCCTGTACACGGTTGACTTCCCGGCGGTCATACCGCTCTACCTTACGCTCAAAGTTACCCCCACCAGAAGCACCAGAACCGGAGTTACGGTCATTGAAGCGGTTGGCGTCACGATTCTGTCTATTGTCCCTACCCTTATCTCGTGTATCGTTATCGTTGAACCTGTTGCTGTAACAAAAACAAGAGATGTGAATTGACACCATGGTGACCGACCAGTGCGTTGTTAAAGTGAGTTATCGCATTTCATAATACCAAAGTTTAAATTTACAAAGATGGACTGTTGTCTACCAAATTTACCTTTGAGATTGGCGACATAGCGTTTCGGGTAACTGCACATTACAGGGATTTTTTCATTGAAACTTTTTTGTATATATAATCATCCGTTTTGAATTTCAGCACTTTTTGTCATAGGTATGAGTAACTTTATTACTGAACAGCACCCCCTACCTGATAAACACTGCACAGACCATGACTCTTTCGCCTGATCAAAACAACTCCATGTGAAAATGAAATATGTTTAAAAGATTTACCCCTTTCAAATTTCATTCTGCAGCATTTAAGAATGAATGATCACTTGCAGAGTTTCCTTGTATGTATTTTGCTGAGATTTGAAAAATCATTATGAAAGTGGATGCAAATGTGCATCCAGGATGGTTTGGTTTAGTAATTTTTAACGTCCTATCAACAGCTATGGTCATTTAATGGACGGTGTGCATCCAGGAAGCTACCTATGAGTTTCTATTAAAATACATTGCATTATACTGACAATAGTAAGCTTACTTTCAACATGTGATTTTCTTATTACCCGAAGGCAACATCATAACCAGGCCATTGTGATGGAACAAGGAAGACTGACCATTACATGTTTTGGGTGATACTTACGCTCGTTTGGGCTGTGACCACTCGTTATCTCGGGTCCCGCGTGACTCATAAGTACGCTTTAGAGCTGCTCGTCGCTGCTCTGCTTCTGCCAACCTATACAAAAAACAAACTCTGTATAATTCTTTGTTTGGTTTAAATGTCTCTCACAAAAAGGGGCAACAACTGAAGAAACCATGTATCAAGAAATACTGAAGAACATCCACAACTGCAAATGATGGTAATAAAAGTCGGCCAGGTTTAAGGACTTCCCATCCTTCGTAATACACATGTTTTTCTTGCCGTATTTCCGTGTCGTCATTTCGTATTGCGAAGTGTAAATTATAGTAACATCGGGTAAACAATAGAACATGTGCGTGATGATGATATGTCAACATCCGATATCGAGACTTAACTCGGAAATGTGTAATAACACGTATTTCAGATATTATGCTTATAACACAAAGACATAAACTAACTCATGGGAAGACATACGATCAGGCGAGTTCAGGAAGGGCGTATATGAGGCGCATGGAATGCAGACTGATATGTTTTGTTTATAGACCTCACCTGTCCATTTCACGTGCTAACACTAGTTCACAAGCTCGGGGTCGCTACAATTTTTGTTGTCGAGCGAGTTACGCTCTGTCAGGTAAATCATTTAACAAATGCAATAACAATAACTCTGTGAAAATAGTGTTTAGTAAAATATCAAGATCCCTATAAAATGCTACCATGCGACAGCCTATGATATAACGGACTATGGAATCCAAAGTGTACGTGATTGAGAGTTATTTTGTTCCATAAAAGAACAGTAAATTGTCAATCTTAATATCTTAATTTATTTTGTTTCTGTCATTTTTGGTATTGTAAAGAAAATAACTGTCATTGTCTGCAAAAAGTTACGATTTTTTTCAAGGTAGACAATTCTTATCAGGGTCAAAATGATTGTAAAATGTAAAATAAATAAATTATTAAGGCTTTGTGTGTATTTTGATCAACTTTTTACTCTACTCGAATGAAACTATGTGTCCTGTTTGCTTTTAGCTTGTAAATAACTACTTTTATCCATACATTTTCAATAAAAATCACTTCGTGTAATGTGTTTGAGATATTTTATGATAAATCAAATATTTGTAGGGTTAATTAGCAATGCTTCTTTACATTATTTTATTGTTGTTATAGTTTTTAACAATGCCAGACACTCAAAAATTGTGAAAGTGTTAAATTTGACAAAAATTCATTTTTTCTGTATTTTTACAAAAAAATCCCCAGTTTATCGGAATGCTTAGATTGTTATATAATCATCTCTACATAGTGACATAACCATCATGTGAAACTTTCATTGAATTCTGCTGGTTAATTGCGAAAGGGTGGAGTCTCCTTAAAACAAAATGGGCTAAAAAATCCAGGACTAGAAGACAGTCTCTTGAATATATTTCCAACAAAAACAGTGCCACTTTAAAAGTCTACACACTTCTGTTTGAAGAAATACTTTTGAGATTTAATTTCTAAAACATCCATTTCGGTGTGACAACTTTTTCACAACCCTCATGTTGAAGTAAAGAAGATTTCTCCATGTAAGATCGAACAGTTGTCCCATTCTGTACATTTCGATATTCATTACCTAAGTTGTTCTAGTCGTCTCTTTTCTTCTCGTTCTCTCTCGAGACGTTCTCGTTCCATCTGCTCTGCACGAAGCCGCTCAAGTCGCTGGGTCTCCAAGCGTTCTCTCTCCAAAGTCTCCCTTTCCTTCCTGCAATGGACCGGAAATTTACAACTACTAAGTTTTATTACATTCCCGTAAAGGAGGATCTTGAAATCAATTTTAGTTCGAAATTTTTATCAAGAAGATGGCCATAAGTTTTTCAAGAAACTTCTATAAATGTAAGTCAATAGGGTTTATGGATATCCTTGATGTTCTAAAATGGACAAAAAGCTGCTCATACAGTACTTACCTAAGGCGTTCACGTTCTCTGGCAAGTCGGATGGCCTCTGCACGCTGCTTCATATGAACGTCACGCTGACGACGTTTCTCAAACTCAATCTCCTGTTTCTTTACTCTTTCTTCCTCCCTTAGCTTCCTTTCCTTCTGGCGCAGGCGTTCACGCTCTCTCTCCTCCTAAACAACAAAAACTCATTGCTGTTTATGCTGTTATGACCACCTCTGACTATAATTTGAATGGTCACATTTAGTTTGAAATCATTCAATGTAGACATAGGGCCTGTTCGTTTATGCAGAACAACCGATACATTCGTTTTTAAATGTATCATTTTTGGGTATAAATCCTTGCAGACCTGAAAATGTTTATGCAGGCCTTGCAAGGCTTTGTCAAGGCTCGCCTGAAAGTAGCATCAAATTACTGGGTCCGACCTTATTTCATAAACGAACAACTTGTCCAACCGGTTCAACCGTTTGGACGCGATAAACGAAAATAGCCATAATCAGACCTCTGGAATATTCCCATAGCAATGACAGATTTTGAAATATTAAGTTCTATTAAGTATAAACAACATATACCTGTATTTTATCAAATGAAAGTGTATCCTTGCTATCATCCTTTTTGGGAGTATCTCCCTCCTTGGCAGCAGCGGGCTTCGTGGCGGCCGCGGCGGCGGCTGGAGACTTCTGGTCAGTGGTGGATGTGGTGGACTTGGCCTTGGAGGGTGACTTGGACACACGACCAGATGACCGGTCACGGCTTCTGACCCTGACCACTGGTTCACCCTTGGATTTGTCCATCACCACAGTCCTCGGTTTGTCTGCAAATTGTAACACAAATAGACTTTTAGGAACCTCAGTCTATTTCTGAGTTGAAGACCATACGAGTATTTCTGGAGGTAAATACCATATTATAGAACCAATTTCAAACAATTTTTTGTTCCTTATTAAAATTTGTATATTTTAATCCTCATCAGAACCATTTCATATTCTTTGTTATGATATATTCAACGCATTGTAAAATACGATTATTTAAACCCGACTTGGGAACTAAAAATAATTTTGAATTAAACTGAAGTGTTTGTCTGTAGCGCAATTTGTTACATACATATATATATATATACTTCAGATATAAATGTTATCCAAAAGTACAGACAACAACGTTACTAAAACATTTAATATTCTCATTTTTTTATCATTTCAAACACAGCTATTATTATATTATATTTTATGTATTTTCTTCTAATCAAAAGAAATTACACCCAAACTTTCCCAACACAATGAAGTACTCTATAGAGTTGTTCTAATTAATCAAATCAATTAAGTCAATGATAAGTCATTTTACCTCCTACTATGACTAATCAATCATGACTTATCAATTGCGGTTTGACTGACTGTAGAACAAAAACTAGCTAGGTATTTTTAAGTATTCATCACATCTTATCCATATTGGCGAATTTATTTCCCCTTCATTTTATGATGAATTAATGATTAATTATCAATCCTTTGAGAAATAGGGATGATTGATCTGGAATTTTGAAGCGATTTCCAGCATTAAAGTACATCATGCCGTACCTGATCCCGTAGAACGTCTGTTAGAGTCATGCCTGGAGCTGGAGTGCGGTCGCTTGTCATCACTTCGTGAGCTTGGCTTACTGTCCCTCCTCGAGTCTCTCCTCACATCTTTTTTGTCACCGTCTTTCTTATCGTCCGACTTTTTGTCACCGTCTTTTTTATCTGAAACACAAAGCAAAAGTTGACAAATATTAAAAAAAGAGTCAAAACAAAATTCTGATACCCATTCATAATGCATTTTTTTCTGCACTTATGTCAAATATTTCTGAAATCTATAGGAAAATATTCCAGAAAATGCCTTATAGTACAAATATGGGAGGTCACTAATTGCTGCTAGTCTTTAAAGAACTGGCATTCCAAGAAGAAACACAGGTGGAAAGTGTTTGTCTTTATTTTAACATTTAGATAGTGAAATCCATAGTTAGCTCAATGATCAACAGGTCCCCCCTCCGAAGTGTGAGAGAATCTACCTCGGTCGTCTTTGCGCGGAGTAGTACTGGTACTCTTCTTGTCGGCAGGAGATCTTGCATCTGGTTTCCTTGTGGTATTTCCAGGGGCTGTGGCACCTTTCACCTGAGCACCAGGCTCATTCTTGGCCTGATTAAACAAATTGATATTAAGACATTTGGCCTTATTTCATAAATTGACATTAGATATTATTACACAATTATTTTAGGTGTGTGTAATAATGTCTAATGTCAATTTGTGTAATGAGGCCAAATGTGAATTTTGAAATCTGACTTTATTTATACAAATTGGTATTTATTTGGCCTTATTATGCAAATTGACATTGGACATTTGACATTATTAAACAAATTGAATTTTGACATCTACCTTATTAAGGACATTTTTGACATCTAACTTACGAACGACGAATTGATATTTGACATCTGACTTTATTTACACAAATTGATTGTCATTTGACCTTATTTTGCAAATTGACACATAGCTTCATTACACAAACTGACACTGGACATTTTGTCCTATTACACAAATACATATCAGACATTTGGTTCTGTATTACATATTTGTTCTTCTAGATGGAAATTTTTTAGACAGATTCAGTGGTGAAGATTACACGAAGGTGAATTGTGTTATTATTTCTCTCTCTTTTTCTCTCCAAAATGCTGAAAAAGGATCATCATTAACTATACCCTAACCAGCACTACTAATATATACCCTTTCCACAGAAATCATTTTGCCATGGAGCTCAGTACGATGAAGATGCTGTATGCACTTTGTGGCCTCGTCTGCTGTTGACATGGTGACAAATCCATAGCATTTGGAGCCGGGGCTTCTGGCGTTGGTCACCACTTTAGCTCCAACCACCTACAAACACACAATTTTATGACAAAATACCTCTCTACATATATATATACTTTTTATTGGTTGATTACTTCCCTTTGCTGTCCTTTATCGTATATTAAACCATTTGAAGATTTTCCGACAATAATAATAATAATAATTTGAGGTTCCTATATATACCGCTTTATCACAACCTAGTTCGTAGGTCGTCTCAAGCGGTTCACAAACTATTATCCGTGATTATATATAGGGCCTTTGCATCCAGCCAATATCTTTCTCAACTCACTGGGGGGCATACAGCCGGTGCTGCCATTTTGGCGCTCACAGCTAGCTAGCATTCAACAATTCTAGTACTGCCCAACCATGTTCTCATTTACAGCCGAGTAGACAGGAACAAGCGGCGTTAAGTATCTTGCTCAAGGATACAACACAGTGCCGTGACCCGCAACCCTTTGGTCATATACCCGGCATCCTACCACTAGTCTACTGTGCATTTTTTTGCAAATTTATAAGACCAGAGAATTCAGTGAAAACTTTAAATACTAATCTTTAAGAAACAAATAAGTATAATGCTAGAGGATTTTGACACTTACCTTGCCATGTTTGCTGAACAGTGCCTTGAGGTCTGTTGCCCGTGTTGAGGAGGAGAGCCCGCTTACCCAGAGGTTACGGCCTGCCCCACTGCTTCCTGTAAACAAAACACTATCACAATCACCGTTCTGTACTGTGTAAAATGAAAATTGCACATCAGTTGTTCACTGCTTATATTTCTCTTAGAAGAAAAACTTTTGAGAAGGTCAAATTCCCCTTATCCGTCCCCCTCCCCTATTGCTCTTTTGATAAGACTTTCTGACATTTCTGGAAACTCTACTCCTGCTTACGATGGATGAAACCAATCCCAATGACTCTTAACCCACCATAATGATTCATGACACCTATTATGTCGCTTCTAAATTTATCTGAAATTTTTATATAATTTATTCATAAAACGTGTTGCTGTACAACACATTCCTGAGACTGGGTTCAGTTTAGCATCAACGAGTCTAGATGTAGTGGACAACTTACCCTTCTCATCCTTCTTTGGGTCTTTCGATGCTGTACTGCTGAAAATGCAGCGGGAAATAGATGATGAAACACAAGTAACGCCTCGACACATTCCACAGCATTAATGCATTCATATGAACATTTCCACCGAACTTGAATTCAACTCTTACTGATAAAACATAATTATTTTTTCTTTTCACATTAAACACCTTTCGGTAGTCAACTCTGAAAACACTCATACCATCAAGCATGAACTCTTTATATAAACAACCAGGACGACAAGTTCCTACAATGCATATGAGGTGTACAAGCCATTAATGATATTTAATGAAGAATGTTATAATTGATGTAATTTTCAACAAGAACAGAACTAAAGTATTTTTTTTCTCCACCACAACATCTTGAATTATCTCTTGTTATTGCACAAAAAACAACTTTCAATGATATACTCTAAAATTATATCAATTTAATTTTCTTTCAGTCTTATTTTTTTTTTTTTTTTTTTTTAAATAAAATATAAACAGCTATCATGTGCATGCATAACTAGAAGTTGAAACAATGTTGAAATCTCCAGCTACAGAATAAGCATGTACCCAAGAAAATAAAATATGCCTCCATGATTGTTGCCGAACACGATTTCTTTTTATTAGAATTTGTATTGTCACATTGTTCAGTCTGTCAAAGTTTTGGGTGAAACATCTTCCGATCATTATAACTCCAGGTTTGAAGACCGATAGAATCTACTTTTTACGAGATGAGGCCAGGGGTCTTGTGAAATTGGGACAGTGCTAGGTAGGTCAAAACATGTATAGAAATAAAAACAAGAGATTTTTTTGCTCGCTCAAATTCTCCGAAAATGTCGGAATGGATAGCATTGCAGGCTAGTCTCTCAACACCACAACAGATTGTAAAGACAAGCACTTGCTACCTTTTGTCGAATCTTTGCTCAAATACAAAGCAGAGAAAGGAAATACGCGGAAAAAGGAAAAAAGATGCGTAAAAAATGATACATTGTACATGAAAATTGGACATACAAACCACACCGACCTCTTAGCTGGGGTGGAGGAAGAAGCTGATTTGCTGGTGTCATTTTCCTCCTTCTTGTCGGCTGCTTTTTTCTCTCCCTTTGTGTCTTTCCCTGGTGTTGTTACAGCTGGGGTCTCCTTCACGGTGGTGGTGTCAGGGGTGGCCGACTCCACTTTGGTTTCTCCATCCTTGATTTCGGGTGTAGCTTCCTCCTTTTCTTCTTCTTTCTTTTCCTCCACTTTGGCTTCCGTCGGTGCAGACTCTTTCTTTTCAGATTTCTCAGAACCAAGGAGGTCTGCGTCCAGGTCGTTTTGCGTGTCGTCCACGTGAACGTCCAATGATTCATTCTCCTCGGTCTGTAAGCCTTGAGACGTGTCCATTTTGATCTTGTCCTCGATCGTAAGTGGCACCAGAGGAACGACTGAAGCTGGGTCAGGCGGAGCATCAATATCCTCTTTTTTCACCGAAGTGTTGGTAACTTGAGTTTTCTCAGTGACGGGAGCAGCCTCTAAAACTGACGCCTTAACTGGTTCCCCCTTTGGCTTCACCTCCTTAACAGCAGGTACTGGCTTAACATCCTTCACCTGAGGTGCTGGCTTGGCCTCCTTGACTGGCGTTACTGGCTTGGCCTCCTTGACTGGCGTCACTGGCTTGACCTCCTTGACTGGCGCCACTGGCTTGACCTCCTTGACTGGCGTCACTGGCTTGACCTCCTTGACTGGCACCACTGGCTTGACCTCCTTGACTGCTGGTACGGAAACAGCCGCTTCCTCCTCGGTGTCCATTGGAGTTTCTTCCTCGGTCTTTGCAGGAGCAGTTTTTTCAGGTGCTAAAGAAATTCAATTCAGAACTTATGAAATGTGAACTGTAAATAAAGGACTATCTTGCTTTTGAATGCCATTTTTTGTCAAATGATGAAGTACGTCTCGTTTCTGTTGCCATTAATTACGAAAGGTAAAAAAAAAAAGCGCTTGATGACCTCATAGTTTTATTTATCAAAATAAGGAGGTGACTGCCTTGATCATTAGAAGCAAACTTTGTCAATTCAAAAATAGGCCAACTGTGCCTAGGGCCCAAAGATTATAAAACTTTTCTATACTCGATTCCGATCTATGCCAAAGTTTGAAATAATGCTCCACTGATATAGGTTCCACAAGTTTTCTTGCATTTTCATTCGAGTTTGAGATGTTTTGTTTTATAACCTTTGGGGAAAGAATGCAGGTGTTTGGTAATCTGATAAAACTAGCAACTTCATCAGAAAGACAGCCTGTTTTTGCAGTGACAAGGTTTACTTTGTATCAATACTTTTACATTAAACGGTATTCTAGCTCAGGGCCTTCACAGCTGGTCTACTCAGCATTCTTAAGAAGTCATCCTGATGAGGTCCTGTTCTGACACTGTCAATGAAGTAATTTTCACAGGAAAAAGTCTGGGGACATGTTGCTCGTTTCCTTGGACGATTTTTCCGAAATCATCTCCATATATCCTGGTCTAGGAAAATACCATTAAGACTTAGTAGGCCACAAGTTTTTGGACATGGGGCTTACTGCCATGGACGTTCTTCCGAAATCATTCCAATGATATCCTTTTCTGTGATTAATTACGAAGTCCTTATAAGCACAAGTGATATCCTATTCTGTGGTTGACTACAAAGTCCTTATCATAAGCACAAGTCTTGGGACATGTAGCTTATTGCCATGGAAGTTCTCCCGAATCCGTTACAATAATATCCTGTTCTGGGACTGATCATGACGTCATCAGCACAGGAACAAGTCTTGGGACATGTCGCTTATTACCATGGAAGTTCTCCTGAATCCGTTACAATGATGTCCTGCTCTGGGACTGATCATGACGTCATCAGCACAGGAACAAGTCTTGGGACATGTAGCCTATTGCCATGGAAGTTCTCCCGAATCCGTTACAATGATATCCTGCTCTGGGACTGATCATGACTTCATCAGCACAGGAACAAGTCTTGGAACATGTCGCTTATTTCCATTGATGTCCAAAAAGTCCTCGATTAATAGTTACAGTCCTGGTTGTCCAAGTTTAACACAAAATACTTTTCAAAAATGTATCTTTGGACTCTGTGATTTCTGTTGATATATCCAAACAAAAAAATTCTCCAAGGTTTTTCTGCAGACATTCTCTTCATATTGGTAGGTAGGTGATGCTTTCCTAAAAACCACACATCAACGGACATGATCCAGCCCTTTCAAATGTAATATTATTATATAATATTATCCATTTCCTCCTCTTTCAGGACTTGTTGATGCACCACCCTTTTCATCCACACCGCTAAACAGTTATTCACCAATTCAAAGAGTTTTTTGTTCGATGTGAATCATGTTTTCATCAACATACGAAAATTTGCATATTGTATATCCAGATAGTCCTTTTAATATGAATTGAAGCTCCTATACATTGCATATGGTTGTCATGTTAGTATTATCAGCTGGCTTTATTTCTTCAGGATTCATAAAGGTCTTTTCTTTAGTGTTTGGGGCCTCCAAGCCAAGACTTATTTCCATCCATATCGGATCCTTGTCTTTGAAATCACTGCAGATGATCATCCCATCCCAGTTTAATCCATTCAAGGCTATTCTCGACAGCATCGAAATTGCGGGAGACCATGACATTTAGGTATCTTTCATTTCAGTTTATATGCACAACTGAAAAAAACATCATTGGTGTAAGCCTCAGGATACTGTCTTTCTGCATACAGGTGAAGGGCTTGACTGCTACTTTTCTTGGAAAAATAACACTTTGCAATATTCCAACTTTTTCAAGAAGGGTTGACTTAAAATTTCACTGACTCCACTCCTCCAAGAATTTCAGCATTCAAGGTAAAACAAATTCTGCAAATTTTCAGGAAGATAACTGGAAACACAATGCAGAATTGGAAAGTATTGGTCGTTTCCAGCAACAGTTGTTTTCTCTCAGAGGTTTTCATATTTCTTCCTATATCCTGAATCTTCAACTAGAAAAACATCCCATTTGAAATAGATTTCGGAAATCTGCCCATACAGGTAGGTAGTTTCAGTTGATGGGCAACCTTGTGGCAAAATAAATTTTCTAAACATTCACTGAGCTGCAGTTTAAAATCCATAGGTGTGTTGCAGTTGGTGCTTTCTTTTCAATCCTCCTTCTTTCCGTCAAAAAAGAAGTTTTTCTCTCAGCAGCTCTGATGCAGAAATTTTAAAACAGTACCAACTGGCTGTCTCTTACTAGGAGAAGACTCTACTGAGATTGTATGCAGTATTATGTACCATTTTCCACCATCAGAAGCATGCATGGCGCCGACTTTCATGGTTCTTACAATCAGATGTACGCAGGCTGTGAGCATATATGGACCCTGAGCTTTCATAAAATCTTATCAAATAAGAACAAGACAGAACGAACTAGCTTATCCAAGGCAGTCACTTATCATAACAAACAAAAAACACCGCAAATTAACTTGTGCACCCGAACTCTGTTTTTTCGCATTTTTTTTTAACGCAGACTAGGGGAGATAACTTGTCTACACACATTGCTGAAACAATCTCACCGTTATGTTCCAACCTTTTTATTTTCTCGTTAAAAACCTGACACAAGAACCAGTAGGGTTTACCTTTAACTGTAGCCGTTGGCTCGGAAGGTTTCTCGTCCTCCTGCGGAAGGAAAAAATAAAAATATCTAAGGAATGCAATAGCAACAATTACAATCTTCGATCAGAATAGATTATGATCAAGAATCTATACTTTATTACATTACTGCAAATTTGATCCTATTATTAAGTAGCGACAAAGTTCCATCTCTTACCTTCGTTTCTGCAGGCTTTTGTTCTTCGACCATTTCTTCATCATTGGTCCCAGTCTCTGGAGTTCCCAATTCCTGCAACAGAAAACACATGTGCATCTAGTAAAACAGTTCTTTGGTCACACACTCAACTTACAGAAGGTTGAACAGATCTTCATTAACAACGTCTGACTATACATGCAATCAAACCTTATCATAAATCCTGATATCTCAGACATTCTCATACTGAACTTGGATATATATAAAATGCCTGTTTATCACCCCACACGCAGCTAGGGGTCCCCAAAACTATTTTTTTATTCATTGTTTCTGATCAAAATCTGCAATAACTAGTACAATTTACTGTGTTGTTTTTGAAAAAAAAATCGCCATTGTTCCTACACCATAGGACCAATAATTACTTGACACAATTTTTTGACACACCTTAAACAAGGTGTAATTTGAAAATGATGAAAAAAAAGGGCATTTTGTATTTTGCACATCAAATTTTTACCTTAAGCAACAAGCAAATTCGTCCCCTGTTTTCAGTTATGTATAATAGAAACAGTCCACTGTAACTTCATTGATTGATATATATACACGGATTACATTCACGATGGACCTTAGCCTAAATCATGTTTTCAGTTATGTATAAGAAACAGTCCACTGTAACTTCATTGATTGTTATATATACACGGATCATATTCACGATGGACCTTAGCCTAAATCATGTGATCAGTTATGTATAAGAAACAGTCCACTGTTACTTCATTGATTGTTATATATACACGGATCATATTCACGATGGACCTTAGCCTAAATCCTGTCATCATTTATGTATTTTGTTGAAAGCGACACATTTGTAGGGCAGTTATTGTATGGAAACCAATTACGGTAGCCAATCAATCACAAGCTTGCAACGTCATAAAGTATGTGTAAATAGGCATGGATTACATTCACGATCAAACTCATCCCCAAACATGGTAATTTGTATGTGCATACCAATTTCGTTGAAATCAGACTACTGTAATACTAAACCAGAATGTAACAGATAGACCGGCCAAATTTTGTATCCCCGATTTTCGTCGGAACGTTTGGATAACAAACGATGTACAAAAGAATGTGCTGTCGTTTACCTGGTCTATAACTTGCATTTCTGACTCCAGCAGTTCCATATCTGCATCGTCTATGTTACCAATCTCATCATCCAGATCCAAGTCTTCCTCCAACAACGAATCCTCCGCCATTTCCTCGTCGTCCCCATCCTGACAAACAGATGTCATTGTTTACAACAAATGAGACACACTTTAAACTCAGTAAAAGGTTTTTAAGTTAATCACCATATTTCAGATTTAGTATTACCAAGTAGATATATTTTAAACCTGAAATTCAGACATTGACTGAGAAGACTGCAACAGCTGTAAGCCATTAAATTACTGATTACCCAAATAATCCATTCGAGTTCACTTCCATTTGAACTGTACAGAAATCGCTCCAGTTCACTCTCCATGGCCGCCATCTGTCAACTACCCACCAACCGCGATGAGCATGCACATATAAACTGTGTATAGAATATCGGCCTCTATATATCCCCGATCCAGCAGAAATACCTGGTTGGCATTTTATTCTACGCAGAAATGATCTAAACAGTGAAAACAGATCCATCAAAAAATTAAACACTGTCATATTTTTTTAATGTCACAGATAGTTTTGCTTATCATAAAATTCAAGCAATTTGTAAATCAATTTGAATTTCACTCCACTGCCACCAAGGTAATTAACAAGGACACGCTTCACCGAACAACTGGAATTTTGGCTCCAATTACGTTTTTAACACCTTTTTAACCATGAGAGTTTCCTGATAATATTAACCCTGACTGTTGTAAAATTCTTTTTACCTGTTAACTTCATGCTTTATGAAGTTTTCAAATTGCACAAACATGACAGTATAGCAATGTGGTTTTTTTCATGTATCATGTTATGATAGCGACCTGTTTTTTTAAAATTCTGACTTCTAATTTTTTTATTCAAATTTGTGCATCCTTTATCTTCTTGTTCATGTTTAAAACAAACTGGTTGCTCAAAATTTCCCCAAAACAACATGCATAACAGGTCATAAAACTGGTTTCCGTTTTAATTCATGCCCCATGTATTATTCAAAACAGATTCAGTTGAGATAATTTACCTCATGTTATAAATAACCCTACATCTCTTTTCCCAAAGTCGCCGGTACATTAGTGAACTAAGATCTTTTTCATGAAGTACGTCATTTAAAGGAGTCAACCTCATTCAAATGGGTGTAACCCGATCTGAAGTCTATAATGGGACTATACACGTCTGAATGGGTGTAACCACTAAATATCAATGTGGATCCTGGAGTAGATTAATTCTGCCAGAATTTACAACACCCAGGAGTAACAAGCATACAAAAACATGAGCAGTGATAATCATTTATGATTTCTACAGAACTGACAAAAATCTGTCACCAAGTTCTGTTATTGATACTCAGGTTTAATAATAAATTTTTACACCGACACAATTTCTTTATTCAAATAAAATTGCATTCAGCACTGTCGAACAGGAATACTATCAACAAGAACTTACGAATGGGTTATGTAACCGATACAAATTGTTATACCGTATTTATCTTCTAACGAGTCCACGGGGCCAGCAGAAAGTCCCTGACATAAAGTGGTGGGAAGGGTGTATATGAGAATGAAATAACATTTGTTGTCATTTCTATTTAATTTCAATAGATATATGAGTGGGCTTATTTCCAGACATCGACTTTTGCTGAATAAAGACGGTATTATTACACTAATATACTTAATTTCATTAAAATATTTACCAGAACTATTTGCTGAACATAATAATTATCTAATCTAAGCCAAATAAAATTACTGTATGTCAGGTTTTACCCAAAACTAACGAGTTAGGTACATTGTAGATCATATCATATGAGCCATACAGTTGTACCATCTTATTTTATAGAATATTTTCAAATAGTTGATACAAAGCAGTGATAAAGATACTCCTTGAACCATGTTGTACCATCTTATTTTATAGAATATTTTCAAATAGATGATACAAAGCAGTGATAAAGATACTCCTTGAAAATCCCTTATACAGAATTTATTTAAGACTAATATTCGGCACTCTAAGCAACCTGAAACTATCAATACACACTGGCATTTGTTCATGGATACGCTTGCTGTGATGGTTGAGGTAAATAGAATTAACGTCTCTGGTGTATAAAGACGAAGGAAAGAAACGAAAGTGGTTTGATGCCCCTGGTGGGCTTTATCAGGACCTAATGAGGCGTAACTGGTCAACAATACAACCACTCTGAGGGGATTCACTTTCGCTTGGCTTGTGGTACGACTGCCCAATTGTGTTATCTTTTGGGATTATGATGCACAGCATATTCTTGTTTATACAAACTTGTCTGATCCCTTTACAGGGGTTTCTGTAATATGCTAGAGACTTGCTTTTGATTTTATTAATTTTCAGAAAATTTGACGATGGACAACGGCAATAAAAAGACATATTTTCAATAAAATTTATGTGTACATAAAATGGAACGCATGTTGAAAATCAATAAAGTCCATCATATACCTATGGGGTTAGTATACCACTAACAAACACTTTAATTTACGTTTCAACAGTTACAATCTTATAGAGTTTGATATCAATAAACCTTGGTATATACAGGGTAACTGAACTGGAGACACGGTTTGGAAAACACACTGGCGTGTGCCATGTGTAACAACAAAGAAATGTTTCTTTATTGAAATAAGATAAGATTTTGATGTACCAGATGTGAGAAGATATCAATGACAAAAAGAAGAGTAGAATTTCTTATAATATGACTTTATTCATATTCTGTGTGCCTGCAGTGTTCAGCTTGGTAACATGTGGTTAGGTAATCAATTCTAATAACCTGTACAGTATTCAACTGTTATTGTCAGTGTGCACATGTACATACATGTATACTTGATGAAATGCGACGATCAAAACATGTTTGTTAAACATTTTGTTAAAGTAATGTATGCAAGTTTTGAATCTTCTACTTTATGATCAGCTGTTTCATGATCAATATACTACTATATTTAAATTCTAAGGCAGTAAAAAATGTATAAAAACAGCTATTCTTTTTTAAATCAATATCATACCAACTGCTACATTTTATTGTTATTGAGTAAAGAGTATGCTCCAAAAATCTCCCAGCATTGCCACATGAAATTTTATCCACTCTGTATATTTCTACGGTGAAATGCGACTTAACATCAACTAGAACTGTAAGCAAAAGGCTAATTTAATTTTATACCTTATTTAATTTTATAGTATTATATACAAGGCAAAAGTATTGCAAAGCAATCTAAAGTCTCCCTACAGTAATATTAATTATTTCATTATTTACTGAGCGGTACAACGATTTTAGGATGTAGGTCACAGTATATACTACCCTGTCATCCCCCAGCCAACACAAACTTGCTAACCAAATCTGGTAAGTCCATGTGAATTAGTATAAGATTTGCCCTAAACAAACTTTTTCAAAGGTTGAGGTCAAAGGCAATAGGACAGGTCACAGGGACCTTTTTTTTTTTTGACATTCTACCATCTCATGATGTGATCAATTCTAATAACCTGTACAGTATTGCATACCAATTCTGGTTAATCAAAGTAAAATAGCATAGAAGATAAGCCCAAGACAAACTGTTTCAAAAGGGTGAGGTCAAAGGTCAAAGTGACATACCTCTTGTACTTAACACTCTGACATCCCAAGATGTACTTGCATGCAAAATCTGATTACTCCAGGTAAAATAGTATAGAAAATATGCTCTGGACAACTGTTTCAAAGGGTAGAGGTAAAAGGTCAAATCAGAGGTCACAGTACAAGTGACAAACTTCTTGTACTTCCCAAGATGTACTTCAAAACCAAACCAGGTGAAATAAATGTAGTATAGAACATATGCCCCAGAAAAACTTTTTCATAAAGTCTTAAGGTTTTAATTGCAGGTGCACAACTTCAGTGCAGATAACATCAGTGAAGTGTAATGAAAATCAGCTGAAAACTGTAGGGGGAGTTGTGCAGGCAATATTGGATTCAGTGTACTTCAATGTATTACAATAAGTTTGACATAATATCCTGGACAAAAGTTTTATGAAAAGGGGCGCAACTCTAAAGAAATTTGTCCAAATTTAACGACAAGCGAAAAGGCACAATCTCATATCATAGGGAAGTAGTAAGCTGAAATGGAGAGAAATCCCTTCAGTAGTTAAAATATGGTCAGACAGGGTATAGATATACGCCTCCATCCAACTTAGTTGCAGGGGGTATAAAAACCCATATTAAAGCTGAATAAAGACAAATTATGTCTTCTGACAGCGTCTTATGTTACTGCTAGCTGATGATCAACAAACCTGCGGACAAGATTTCCCAAATAGAAATTCAATGTATATTTTTTGCAATAAAGATGTAGATGACACATCGCCATATTATTCCTTTCAATAGTACATTTGTTACACATTTCCCTGTGAATATTTTGTTCAGGTTTGTTAGTTCATTTTGTTCCCTCCGAAATTATCTGACTTTGTTCAGAAGGTAAGTTGTTCCATAAGATTCATCAGTTTGGAAATATACAAATGTAAGTAATATAAAAGTTTCAATCAATGTATGAGTTATATGTGTTTCAATGTATACACTCCCTATCGACAGACGAAACGTCCCATGTCAGGTGATATAGGAAATTAACAATTCCGTCACATCCTTGTACAGGTAAACAATGCAATTCACTCGCTTAGTCATAGTTTGACAAAGGGACCAATTGGTCTTGAAATTTTGCCAAACATTTAACATGTACATTGTTTGTGTATAAAATAACAATTGATGTCGAAAATTGTTCCATACAATATTTTACTTGCTGCCATCTCAAGGTCCTCTCAGCATTTTTCTTTTGTGTAGGAAGATTTTATTTTCATGGAATCTTCACCATAATATACATTTGTAATGTGTGTTGAAGTACAAGATTTAAGTATACAACACAAAGATTTTTTCATAAGATTTTAATACAAACTTTAGAGCTATAGATAATTTTCTTTCCTTTTTTTTTTGGCTGTCCACATATACCCCCTCTCCCCCAATCACTTTCTCACCACTGAACATTCGATGAAATTATTAGTGATCAAAGCAATCCTGTCATTGTCTTTAATGACAACGAACCAGAGTCACCTCTGAAATGTTGTTGTGTTTGGGATTCACATTTCACTGAAGTTGTTAGTTCAGCTCAGTTGCGATTTACTTCACATCATTAAAAGATCACCAAATGGTTTGAATCTTTTATTCAAATTTTCCTTAATTAAAAATTGTCAAAACTTACACGAATTTGAAAATGATAATAAGCCAAGCTGTCCCTAAATGCGGATTCCAGATATATGATTTCTTTCGTGATTGCTCAGCAAAGGTGGATACTGGTATGCCATCAGAGCTCTTAACTATTTATGACCTTCTGCATTGAATTTGAATCTAGCACAGGTAGACGCTAACCAGGACTAGTGAAAAATATGATTATAAAATAAAAATATTCCTTTTTAAATTGAGAAAACTACCGTAAATTTGCACGTACAGTGCACACTTTTTTAGGTAAATATTGTCATGTCAAAAAAGGGGTGCGCACTATACGCAGGAACAAGTCATTCTTGGGTTATCGTTCTCCAGTTTCTAGTCCGCCATATTTGATTACCTCCCTTCAAATAGTTTTATTCTGAGTCTTAGGTCATATATGATAAGATTGAAGTTTAAAATAACAACAACGAATGAAATTCTTTGGCGACACAATTTTTATCTTCTCTTTAATGATTAAAATCGGTAATCTGTGGTCATGACTACTGATTTGGAGACAAACACTAGTTGGGCACGTAACATTTTTACAGGTAAGTTGACCAGAGGGCATACCATCTGATCCCGGACAATAGGCTAGGTAGGATCGCCATGCTTCAGCGAAAATTATTGACACTTCTCAACACCACAGTTAATACAAATTACAATGCAGTAGTTAGCTAACGATTGCTGATTAACAATAGCTCTAAGAAATTTAATTGAAATTATTTGCAGTCGCGATCGAGGGACCGTGTTGTTTTCACTCAACACGTGGCGTGAAGCCCTACTGCACTGTTAGAACTACAGACTGATTTGACCGTAAAGGGATTTTAAAAAATATGTTTATACTAGAAGCATGGACATTCAACACATCCCCCTCAAATCTCCTCAAAGGAAAAAAATAAAAGCAGAATACACTATTTTTATGATGCTTCATAATATTGAAATAATTCATGAGGTTATCGATCACGTCAACATGAAAGTGAGCCGGGGAAAAACATACACACTATATAGGCTTAGTGATTTGGTAAAAAAAAAATGAACTAACGTGGAACAGAGTCTATACTTAAAACACTACATTTTCGTATTTATGGAAAACCGCTGTGATGTCGAAACATAAGTTGATCGTCGATTCTCTGGCATCGGAATTTTCTTCTTCTTTCAAATCTGACCCCAAAAACGTACCTGCGCACTATACCCACAAATTAGCGGTACTTAAAATAAGATATTGTATGATAATTGTAAAAATGTTCCCAAAACTTCACCATATCTTCATGGCAGAAGTTATTTTAAGTCCCTTACAGTCAATTACTTTCGATGTTTCGTGCTGTAGACTAGTAAATAACCTATTCAATTAGTCCTTTTGACTACCAAGTAAAAATGTTAGTGTCTAACCCCGTCTAGTACTACTTTGAGTATCTTATTGTCTAGGGACGTTTTGAGTTTTACAACAATACCTGATGGTCCAAGAACAAAGAAAGATGTAGACAAGATGCAGTGTTTACTTTGCCTGAAAGTTTACATGAACAAAGGTGCGCGTCACATGGCTGCACCGTTCTTTAGAAGTTAAACTGCTGCATAGTATTAAGTTGTGTTACTTTACTCCAGATATTTTGTTGAACCCCCCCAAAAAATAAAAGATTACCAATTACTTGAAGTTATTCAATTTAACATGTCATGGTTTTCAACCATCACTGCATCTGAGGCTATCAGTTGATATATATTGTTTCCTGAATGCTTTCATTCATTTCAAGCCTAGCTGGAAGGCAAATACAGCATTATCTTGCTAAATATAGTTTATCGTTAAAAAACTCACCTCTTTTAACTTTCCCTTGGCTCCTGTCCCTTCAAATAGAAAAAAATCATCAAAATAAATTCATAATTTTGAAAGCATATTTCACCTTTCTTGGCTTTTAACTTTAAAACTTTAAATTAGTGAAGAGCAAAATACTATTGATGCTTAAATATCACAGTATCAGTTGTATCTTTGTTAGAATCATTATTGTAAAACCTTTGCAAATATGATTTTAATTCACACATATATATGAATTGATCAGTTCCATTTCAGTCAAGTCACACTGTTATGTGTATAGTTGTACTGGGATCCTACAGGGCTTTCAGTTGTCCCTTAAGAGTATGTTTTTGACTCCCTAAAATTTGCTTTAACTCTGGTTTTAAAGGACAGGTCTATTTTTCACAAATATAAACTATCTAAAATTCTGGTAAAATTCTGTTTAACTTCTGAAACTGCTATTTATGTCAATGGTCAACTGAAAGCTTTGACTCTAGGTACCTGGATCTAGTAATTGGTGGTTTTGGGATGTTAACTGTTTGTGCATTGATTACTGTCACAGTACAGAAAGAGAGACTATTTTGCTTATTTCAAGTAAACACAGTTTCACATGTATATAAAATTCTTTGATTTTTTTAGATAGAAGTTGTGTTCATGCCTCAGATATCACAAGTTAACATTGAACCTGCAAGCTCAACAACCACTCAAGTCGGAACTCCACAAACTCTTAAATTTTGCGCAGTGATTGGTCATCCTCGGCAGATTGTCTGGTACATTTATTACCGGTACTCAAAAACTTGTTCATTCAATTTTTTTATAATAGTTTTCTTTCACATTTATTGTAAATACCAAAATGTTTATTTATTTCCCTTACACCGGTAGTGTATTTTATTGTACCTGGTACTTTAATACCGGTGGTTTCAGGTCAACCTTGTTTTCATACGGCTTCCTGTTGGTGTTCTTGTAATAAAATTATATGCAGAATTAATTTTAAGTGAGGCCAAAAAAAATTAGTCTGTTTGTTTTTTGGTATATTTTTGTGTACCGTGTGGTCATGTGATTATGACCCTACCAAGGTTCATTTGGAGGCAAATTGTGCTCCATATGCTGACATTTAGCGCCAACACGGAGCTAGAAGCCATTTTGAAAGGCAAGGAACCTTCTAAAATTCGAAAATCAGCGGGTTTAAAAAAAAAAAAATCAAAAAGTTTTGGGTCGGGGGGTAAAAAGCTAGGGTCGGTCGGGAACCCTAAACAGCCATATATTTTTTTGGCCTGATGTAAGTTTGGTTATAAATTGTAATCACCAAAATGTTCATTTAATTCCAAAGGCAGTGTATTCAAGTCTGAACACAAAACTTACTAGGAGTTGTCTTCTTGGTTACAGCGGTAGTTACTGGTCTTTTAGGTGAATCAGTTCCTGGCTCAAATACATACTCGTTTGGATCCTCACCCTCATCTTCTAAAGCCTGCATCAATCAAGAACTTTCATCATTTAAATTCAATGAAATAGGGTTATTTAGAACTTTATGAAAATAATAATATTTTCTTTGCAATAGACATAATTATCTTTGTGTTTCTTGCATTCACAATATTTGTAATATGGTAGTGGAACAAAATCAGTCCTGACAAATTACGAATTTAAGTTTTCCTATTAAATTAGTTGCTTTTACCATAAATGTTCATCTCTAAACAGTTTCACAAAGATTATTATGTGGTGTATTGCAATAAGTTCAATTTATTCAAACGATGTAGCGTCCATAATGAATGGAGTTGGGATATGGAATCCAGTCAAATTAATGAGAAATGTATCAACTGAAACATAGGTATAATTTTTTCTCTCTAACAAACATGTTAAAACTTTCACAATCGCTGTCGCCAGATTTCGGCGACAAATCCCCATGTTTTCATAGCACAGTCGATAGCTGACCAGAAACAGGAGAGTGATTAGATTTTTTATTAGGTTCAGTCAGCTTAAACTGGATAAACTTTGATAAACTGTTGACACATGCATGGAATCATGCATAAACGTGAGGCTTCACACATCATTGATTAAACCATGGCCGTTGAAAGTGTGGGTACATTCGCGTATCCATCGAAGCGGTTGAACCTGTAAAGAAAACGACAGGCACAGATCTGGATCGAGGCTGACCTCAGGAAAATTTGGCACCGTGTAGATTGAGGGGTCCAGACGTACCTGACCGAAACTAAAATGCTAACTATTGCCAATTTGCGTTATTTCTTTCAAAAACAATGTCAAGTCACATGCAGTTTTTAAGATACGTTTTGTAATTTAGTTGGACGGATGAAGGAAGGGCATATTATTCTTCATACATTGTTTTTTATTCTCCAAAGCTGTGCATTTTTAGCTCTGCTTATATACCGGTCCAATTTAATATGCAACCACGTTCGTTTATCGTTGAAAATTTCTGCTCCACACGTACCGTTTCAACCGGGATACGCGAACGTAGCCTGTGTTTCTATTTATCCATACTGCAACACGTGCACCCTCTTGCGAGTATGATGTGCACCGTTCTACATTACGATAGGTTGGTCAACATATTCGTCTCATTCCGTGATATGAATGAATGCATATCTGAACATTAGGAATGACGGACAGTTACATATATAGTGCATTCGTCTAGTGGTTGTAGGAGGATGGGAATTCGAAGCGCATAACTGTTACATATCAGTGGACAGGAAGTGGGGGAACGTGGTCGGCGTTATGATTTCGCTACCATCTGTTCCGTGTCGCCGGGCAGATTGATACTCTACCTTTTGTAATCTTTCAGTTAACACAGCTTTAACTCCACCCTTATCGAGTCCTCGGTTTTCTAGTTCTCTTCTTAAATCGACAACGCGCAATTCTTTCAGTTTTTTCGCACCCCCTTCTTGAGACGCCATTGTGAGATATCGAGTGCCCGGATGTGGAATTATCTCCGTTATTTTGGATCACGTAAACGCTTCACAATCATTTCAAAACATGCGACTCAGGTTAAGCTTATTTTCGACATGGTTAGTTTACACTAATGGCTGCCAAGAGGAGAGAAGATTCATCGTCGCTCGCTGAAAGGTAACGCCGTGACTTATTGAACGATCAAGATATCGCGGTTCACTTTTGAATGGGTTGGAAACAGGATAATGTATTCACTTTCAAATAAATGATAACATTACTATGTACAAACCCGGTAAATGTTAATTAAAATAAACTTATTAATTTAGATAAGTAAACTCTACGGTAACAACGGTACATTGCACATGTTTAAATTACTGATTTCCCAGTAGGTCTATTTGTATTTGCCCATGACTACCATATCCGATTAAAATTAAATAACAGAAATTATATTATATTTTTCAGTTTAGAAATTTTACTGAAGACTCTTGATGACATAGAAAGAAGAAATGTTCATCTTCTGAAGCTTTGTGGTGCAAGGAGAAACCTGTTCAAACCTTGGTAAAAATGTTCATAAATAATTATTATGAAGTCTGTTATGAACTTTGTCGGTCAACAACATTTATGAGGAGACACTATTTCACATTTCTTACAGTCAAAACCTGGAAAATCTTCCAGAGGATGTTGTGTCCCCTCCAAATATCAACACTTTTAAGAACAGAATAGATAAATCTTGTCAGAATGAAGAACTTTATTTTAACTATAGGGCAAATGAATATATTATTAACAACAAACTTTAACTTTATATTATACAATTATTTAATTTTTGAGTCCAGTGTAGAGGAGCTCTATCAGATTCTGTATTGGAAACTAACCTAACTTTAACTTAAACCTTAAAATCCAAGGGTTTTGCTTTATAAACATATCTTCTCTGCAGCCATGGAATATGTCATGACAAAATTGAAAGCTTATAAGCTAAGCCATTGGATGCTAATGATGAAGATGAAGAATAGATGAAGATGGTGTTATTATGATATTGGAAGTGTATGATGGTGTTGATTGCTTTAATGCTGATGATTTATTTGGAAAAATAAAACAATTACAAATTGCAAAAAATCATGGGCTGATACCTGTTCAATGAAGATTACGGAGAAGCAACAACAAAATCATTTCATTGTCCAATTTGTCACTGAATGTCTGATGGCACAATGTTCTGGAAAGTTTAGCACTGAAAGCAGCTATAACTTATGTCCCTTTTTTTTGCTGCCATTTCTTATTGACAGTCTTGTCATCATGTCATTTGTTTTGTCATCAATTTTCAATTTATAGCTTTTTAGTCATGAACCACTGCAGAGCTATTTTTTATTGAGCATACCTGGGTGAAAATAAAACAATGTGTAAACAAAATCTCTATGCAAAGAACGGAAAAATATTTATTCTTTAAATCCTTTGATTTGCTTGAGTCTTTATTTAATAATATTCTTCAATCTAAAAATCAAGTTGATTCCATTTGTTGATCAATTCTTTGACCAGGCCACGCAAGAAGAATGGAGATACAGAAACAGTGGAGAAAGATGGAGGTGATGTCCAGACCAGCAGTCAGTCTAAAGGTAAGCTGACCAATACATTTACACTGAAACCTTACTCCTATAACATAAGAGGCCGCTGGTCTGCGACGCGGCGCCCGTCAAAAGTATCTCCCCGTGTTAACCTCTAACACTGTTGGAGAAACTGAAACCTCAGCTGTCAGAATCTTTAAGAACTCTAATCAAAATAATGGAAGAGTCATTCATCGTACTTGAATTAAGTCAATAGATAAAAAGGCTTCGGAAAACAGGGGAACCAATGTTTCCATAGTTAGCAATCTTGATATGTTTTCATAATTACAAGGACAGTAACATGTATGTTCTCAAGAGTTACAAATGTTCTCATCTAAGATGCCAAGGACTACACTTCCCCTACTACACTTTTGGAAAGCTAGAAATTCATTTGATCATTGACAATTGCAAGGATAGCAAGAGAGAGGCTTTCATTAAACTTAACATTGGTGTGTTAAAACAGATACCCTGACAGCTGCCGAAAAATCTGAAATGGCCATGATGGACAAGATGCTGACCAAGGCTCAGGCTGCCCGAGAGGTTCAACAAAGGGTAGGTGTTTTGCTAGAATCTGCTGTAATTGTACTTATTCTATAGCAAAAAAATCCTATGTCAATATACTTTTGTTTCAATAATAAAGTACCATATTTACTGTAATTGGTGTGCACGCATCAAACAATTTACAATTACTGTATTAGCTGTAATTAGCACCCAGTACACTTGAAAATTTAGCTGAAGTGGGTGCTTATTACCGTATTTGACTGCAAACAAGACCACACTCACAAATAAGCCCTTTCCCCACTTTGGCAAATGTCCTTGGAACAGGGTGGGTGATGTAGGTTTAAAAGCCATCAGTCTATAAAACAGACCGATGTCCTTCAAAAAGTAAAATAATGCTTTAGAGTCCACAGAAGTGAAAAGTGTTTTTATATCCGGGACTTGAAAGAAATGATCACAAATGTGTCTGAAATCGGGACATTCTATTAAAAAATGTTCCACTATAAATGGAGTGTCACATGCATGGCATGTAGGTGAATGGAGACAAGAGGACAACTTCCTCTCTACAATCTTTCCAAAGGGGAACAGATGTTTTAAGTTTCAGTTGTACTTTAAAATATTTGTTGCTGGTCTCAAGAGACCAGTGTCCGTAAGTTCGGAGGGAGCTTATTTGCGAGCATTCCCCCTTTTCACTAGCATACAGCATGCCATTTGCCATCTTGGATAGAGTAAGAAAAATATTTTTTACTTTTTCATTACAGATTAAAGAATCAGGACGAACACGAAAACCAAAACTACCAGAAAAGAAGGGAGACAACTCCTCAAAGGGTCCTGTGAAGGTTTCTAATCAAGAACCTGTACAAAATGATAGCACCACTACCAAACCATCTGTCAAGAATTTGGCAAAGAAAACAACAAGTGACAGATTAACTCATAACCTCGAAAAAGGAACAAACTCAAAATCTCAAGGAGATCAGGTTGCACCCAAGTCTTCAACAACAGGTCAAGGTCAAGGCCAGCGTGGTAGATTAAGTGGGAGAGGGTCGTCAAGTGCCAGTGTGAGAGGAGGCAAGAAAGTAGTAGCCGCTCATTTGACAGCACCCTTTCAGACAAATCCCCGTCTGTCTGTGCCAAAGCGCCAGGTCGATAAACGGATATCATCAGGAGCTAAATGTAGAACTGTTATTACAGGACAAAAGAAATCTTCCGTCCCAACTCAAAGATCAGTCATTTCTGAACAGAAATCTGGTTTTAACCAGAAACAAAATGGGAAAGACAATCATAAATTAGAAAATCAAAGATTAGAGAAAGATGAAGAAATCACAGAGAAATTAGACACATTTGTTGATGACGATTCATTTGAAGACAAAGCAACGTCTGCACACAATAGCAGTGTAGCATCAAATCAATCTGAAGGACAAGAGGAAGAAACACAAGTGACTGCAAAACCCCTGGTAGAGGACACAGCACTGGTAGAAAACCTTGGAAACCTCAAAGTGACGGATGATACAGATACACAGGAGAAAGAAAAGGAAAAGAGATTTTGTTTACTAACTGATGGGTACGTATCTACAACAATAGTGCTTTTATTTCTGTAAAAGTTGTGTCCAGAACAGGCATAAGTAAAGCTATATCACTTTGAGGCATACATAGCAAATACTGTAAAATCATAATATTTCGTTGGGGATTTATTTTGATTTATTTCATAGTTTTATAAAAAAAACGATTAAATCCATGTTGTATTAATTACATTTAGACACAAGTCATGATTAACGGTGTATTTATCGTCACAGGCACAGAATAAACACTTCTAATAGCAACAGCGTGTCAATCAAGCGTTATATTTGTAACACAGTTATTATTACACGGGTAACATCAGCATCGTAAAAACTGCCAGCAAGGTACATGTACATCTACGTATATGCCAGTCTACAAAGTATTCATTATGTAAATATCGCTCTTTGTATGTAAACTATATATAGAGCGTGACAGATTTGACCGATACGCACCGAGTGAGTAAATCTCGCCCGATCTTACCTGTACTATATTTACCTGCACTGTGTCGTCACGCCTGTCAATTTAAACTTCTTACTTAAAAGAAAAAAAATACATGGTTTTAAGATATTGATTCCACAAAATATAATCGTAACGAATTGTGCCCATACAAAAACAATGAAATTTAACCGCAACGAAAATACATGCTTTAACAGTAGTTGTGATCCCTGATAAAATTTTCAAAATAAACGCTGACCAAGAATCATATGTTAACCTAAACCTTCAAGGTTAGACCAAACAAAACAACATGTTTGTATCCTGTTCCATGTCTGAAAAATTTAATGAAGGTAATAGATTTTATTTTTCAGTTCTTTTATTGGGTCTATTTAGGAGAGTGATCTTGACTTTAACAGTGCTTCCTTGAAAAGTACAAAAAATTAAAGTTTAGGGTATGCACAAACAAGGATATAACAAGATGGCCTCTGCATTCTATGGTTTCTGGAAAAAGATATCTTTATAATAACTTGCCAAAATTCAATTACAATTTATAGAAATAACAGTTAAACCTTTAAAAGTTTACAAAAATATTTATTTGGGAAATAAAGTGAAATGCTAGCAAAAAGCAGGTTGACAAATGAAATGAAAGGCATTACTTCAAGGTATTGATGAAAGTTTATCTGATTTATTTTGAATTATTAAAAAGAAATTGCTTTAGATTCCTAGTAAAATCTGCCATTAACGTGAAGGTTATCTGCTATTCTTCCTTTCAAGCACTCAAGAACAACTCCTTAGTTCAAATCTTTTCCAGTTCTATTTTAAAAAAATCCTTGACTGAAAACGGTTAAAATTCTAAGACATAGCTGAAAGTAAATCTTTGTTGTTATTAATTCAGGAAAAAGCTGAACATTCCTGGAAAACTTCGCAGACTGTACGCCAATAACGTAAGGTTACGGGAGAAGGTAAAACTTCAGAGGATGACGAAAAAGGTGGATGTCTGTACCAGTCGTCAGGAGTTTTTGTCCAAGGTGGAATCCACGGTAATTATCAGAATAAAGGCACGGGTGAGAATATTATTGGGGACTCGCACAAAAATAGAAAATTAAAAAAACTTTGTGTCCAAAGCTCAGAATCTGAGAAAAACTAGAATAAACTCAGAAACTGGGAAAAATCTCCAATAATTGTCTCAAACTTTTTTTTAGTAAACCATAAAAAGTTCCATAAAAAAACATTTGCAAAAATATATAAAAATAAAATCATGGTAGAGTTATATACAAATGAAATAAACTTCTTTTATCTTTTATTTTTTCGCAAAATCATGTTAGCCAAAAGATAATATGCAGACCTCTTTGATTATGAAGCAGGGAGAAACCACTGCTACTATAGCATATCTATAATGGTAATAGTTCTCCGCAAAATTACTGCAATTTCAAAAAGCAGAACTCCCCAAATCACCTCCAATCTGAAATTTCTTTCATATGAATATCATCCTTATATGACAGAAATTTTACAGAAAAATATCAATTCAAAGTAAGTGTTACTGAAAGAAATTGCAAGACTCTTTACATTAAACCGGGGATATGTTCCAGTTTCATGTTCCGGAACCTTGAATTAAGAGTGATCTGTGTCTTATATTTCAGTTTGAGTGGGATGAAGCTCAGAGTGTGGGGAGAAAAGTGCAAGCCATCACCAACGTCTACACCAACCTTCTACGCCTCCTGTGTGACCTTGACCTCCGGGACACAGGTCAGCGTAATAATATTTACATGACACTTATTTTTAGAGATGGATTTCTTGCATGTAACGTAATAAACTTCTTTAGCAAATCCTGATTCCTGGGATAATTCATTTCATTAAGGATATATACAACCATATGATTAATAAATTATGAAATAATGTAGGATCCTTTCCCTATTACAATCTGCAGCAGTGACCTAGTGAGGTGAGAAAAGCAAGGTCAAAGTTGTTTTTTTTTTTTTTGTAGCTCACTTGGTCCTTTCATCAGTTTTCAATTATGATTGTTTTCATTAAAAGACGTCTAGTCTAGAAAGTTGGACAACGTTTTTGCTAAATTAAGTTTGGATCTTCTTATATAAATATGGGGGTAGTTACAGAGGGCTGGGGTCATTGTGGATATTAGATTAAGTCAATATGAGCATACCAGATCAAAGAGAATTTAATGTTACAGAGGGCTGGGGTTAATGTTTTCTTTTAGATTCATCAGTTTGGAAATATGTTTCTAACTATCAAAGTTTTACTTTCTACACAATATGTACATATTAATTGTATCGCAACGTTTCAAGACCGACAGACTCCGTCATAGTTTGACAAAGGGAGCAGTCGGTCTTGAAACGTTGCGACACATTTAATATGTACATTCTTTGTGTAGAAAATAAAACTTTGATATTAGAATTTAATGCTGTTTAAATGTGTCTCCCAGGAAAAGGGGTCAGGCTCATTTTTTCTTTCTTGCTTTGCACATGTTTAAAATGTCGGAAAAAAAGTGTCATATATGTTTCCAATGAAGAGAGGTCAGACTCATTTTTAACTTTTTTGCTTTGCACATGTTAAAAAATCAGAAAAAATGCGTCATAAAGGTGAATATATATATATATATTATCTTTTCCCCTGTATACTGAAGACTTTAGCATCTTTTCTTTGAACAACAGATTCCTGGCCCTGTTATGATGTGTTGCGAGCAAAACGTATGGTGGAGTTTATATTGACGGTTTTCTACAAAACTGAGGAAGAAAGACTCAAATTTAATCCTGGTATGTTTCTTTAGTCATAGAAATAGTCCCATATTCTAGATGAAGTTATTTACCTTAAAAACCTTTTGTGAAAATTTCATAAAATATGCCTTCTTGATCCCTGTTACTTGTTGGTAGTTAAATTATAACATTTGTTGTAACAGTATGTGACTGAAGCCAATCGTGAGTATTAATGTAAATAAATAAACAATAAGTATTTTCAGTTCGGAAGGACCCGAGGTACTTTTGAAAAGCAAATACAATGTAACAAATTATTTTTTTCCATTCTTTAGATGTATTATCGAGCATTTCCTGTGAGGGGAGACAACTCCGAGTTGAGGTAACCCCTCCTCAGCCTTCTTTTACGTCACAATTCTGGTCACCAGCTTTCATCAAACTTGGTAAGTTTTCTTCTTGCCAAACCTTGATGGAATTGTCCAGCAATAAGCACATGTCTGGTAAAACCCCCACCTGGATATCTTGCTTGTATTTCTGTAGAAATGACAAAAATGTTATTTCATTGTCCCGTTTAAAGCTCCCACCGCCCACCTTCTCCTTTAAGTCAGATTATAATGTTGTCCTCTGGGCTTATTGCAGGATAAATACGGTACTTATCAAGATCTCATAAATTTTAATTTGCATATACCTGGTAAAATACTATACAACAAATAGCATTTGGAGATATACTTCGGCCATCACAGCTGTTCTTGAAAAACTATTTTCAAAGCAATATATTCACAAAGTTCTTCTTTATCTTTTCAGATCCTTGTGTGTATAAAACTTTGTCAAAACCTTACGACTGCCTGCAGTACAAGAGTTCACGTGATCTTGACCGATACATGACCCTTGTCTTCCAAATCCAGTACGAGCAGCTACAGCAGAGACTCCTGGATACCATAGCAACCAAAGTGTTACCATTGTTAAAATGTGGAAACTACAAACCAAGGTAGGGATAGAATAGTTGAGATGTAGCAAAAGAGGGAAATACATTAGTACTGTATATCAGGAAATTTCGGCTCGTTTTTTGCCCTCCCTAATGGGGGGTGAATTCATTTATTACAGTGAATATAAATAAAGAACCTTATATACTTAGTCATCAAATTTGAAGGGCAAAAATTAACAGTCTGCATAACTGTCAAACCTCCCTTATGAGGAGGTTGACTCCCTCATTTTGATAAAAATTTACCAATCTCCCTCGAAACTCCCTCATTCAAGTCCAACCTCAAACAAGCTCAAAATCTATATCCTGTGGTCAAATGATCTCCTAGTTACTGCAGGGTGTGTGTAATGATCATAACAGGTGTGTCTGAATCAAATGAATGCTTTTCGGAGTTAACACATACAGAAAAAGAGACAGATAAATTGAGCCAAGCAGTTTCAGTCACGTTTCACACACTTTCTCCCTCATTGGAAATGTGGAATGAGGGAGATCTCCCTCAATGGAGGTTTCAGAAGTAGACACCTACGACTCTAGGTGAATACAGATTCTATGGATGCAGAATGACATCTGGACATCAGTGAATAGTGTCCAGATCTCTACAGTTTTAACCAATATCTTAGAGGGGTACGTTGAGATGTTAGCTCTGACTAAATAAGTCAAGAAAAAAACATGGAAAAATGAGCTCTGACTAAATAAGTCAAGAAAAAAAACATGGAAAAATGAGAGGGAAAAATCATCAATCATCATCTTTGGGAAAACATGACTAATCTCAGGGGAACAAAGACGCGTGTTTTCCTACCACCAAATCAGAACAATAACAAAGCTGTTAAGAGTATCAGACCTAAATACCATTGTTGTCGTCTGCCGCAGTCACTTTATGTCATAGGTGATACCGTTTAATTAGACTCTGAATGAGGGAACTTGAGTGCCAAAGGCAATTAGCTTTGCTCTTACAGTTACAAGTTGTTAGGGCTTGCTGTGCCCATCATGTTGTTTTAGACTTGGTTAACACTGAAACAAGAACATAAAGCCCTTTCAATCAATCAATCAATGTCCATAGGATTTACAGTCTATCATGAGTTGCTATTTCTATGAGAACTTGCTGTATCTATCATCATTGTGACCAGTACCGCTGTTTTTCAATACTTTGTGAGGTTTGTGATTTTGCAGGGTTTTATGAAGGGAAATTTCCAATATCCGGGGTTAAGTTGACCTAGCTGCGGGAACAATAGCTTCTAGGCACGATCTTTTTAATGGTCCGATAACAATATCTTTTTTTTTTTAAAAGATCGGGCCTAGAAGCTACGGTTCCCGCAGCTAAAATTGACCCCAATGCTGGAGGTGTACCAAATTGGGGTTTGTGGTAATATTTTGTACAGATTTTCCGTCACTACCCTACACACTCCGGGGTAATTGACACCTATGGTACTGGTAATATAGTTGAAAAACAGATATGATAATTGTAAAATGTCAAAAATCCTAACATGTTGTAATCTATCACTGTTTGTCTCCTCCAGTCAGTCTCTCGTTGATTGATTCCTCCTTGTTAACCATAAGACATTGTTTTGAGCACTGGTGCTCTGGTGGTTAACACAAGGGAAACATTCTGAGCTATAAGTTAGTCAGTACAGTTAATTAACATGGAATCTTAGACTGTATGCGTCATTTTTTTTAATGCTAAAATAATCTTCTTAGAAAATAAAATGTTTGTGTATATTTCTTGTGTTGCAGTGAGACTGTATGGATGTTCCGATCGCTGTACTCCATGCTGACTTCAAACAAGTCTTTCCCTGTCATAGTCAAGGATACAATTCAGGAGCTGGAGGAATCTCCGGAAAACAAATGACCTTTTTCCTGGATTTGATAAAATCTAAATTCCTTATACAATTTCTAGTTATTCAGGGTTAGACACAAACTTTTTTTTGCATGCTAGTCCACAGGACTAGTTGAATAGATTATCTACTAGTCCTTCATCAGTGTAACTAGTGCTAAGATTTCCTGATAAGGAAACATTGCAATCTACAGCACGAAACATCAAAAGTAATCGCCTGTAGGGGACTTAAAATGATAACTGCCATAACAATTTGGTGAAATTTTAGGAAAATTTTTGACAACTATCTTGCAATATATCCTATTTTAAGCTATTTTCTAAATTTTAAAAAGAAATATTATTATTTTATAATCATGTTTATCACAGTTCCAAGAACCAGTTAGGTTGGTGATTCACTAGTCCTTGCTGAAATATACTAGTCTAGGACTAGCGGACTAGTGTTAGTGTCGACCCCTGCTATTTAGTTAAAATGAAATGATGCTGAAGATGACATCAAGATGTAGATTTGTTACAAGTAGTTAGCTTCCAATTGAATTAGTCTAATACATTGTGAAATTTTCTGCACATGAATTGCACGTCAGGGCAGTATTTAAACAGATTTAGAGTAGAAAAATATACATAAATCAATTTGCTATATTAAATAGTTCACGCATGATAACGATTGTATGTGTCAAATGTGGACCAGCTTTGCAGCAGATTTATTAGACAATATTTAATAAAAAAAATATATATTTACATTTCCACTGTAAGTTCCTCTATATCCATTACCTGAAGAAATTGTGTTCATAGAGCTATGAACCAAATTTGATCCGGGTCATTTTTAATCTTCTCCTGTCGCCTAGATAAACATGAGACAACTGTTAGAATCAAACATTTTGGTGACGTTAGGCTGTTCCAGGAATCTTGTTTGCATACTTTTTTGGAAAAGTAACAGGTGTTTTTTTTAATGGAAAAAAACCCCTACCACTTAATCTTGTTCTTGAGACGTTTTTGACAGTTCTAAATCAGGGCCTGTATTCATAAATATCATTGTCATGTTCAAAATCAGATTGTGTTCAAGCTCTCAATTCCATATTCAATTCAAATGGTGACTTTTAAAATGCCAATTTGAAGACTTGCTCTTGACCAAAATTAGTTTAAAGTGTACAACAGCACCTGTTACAATCCCAGAGTTCAACTTCAAGGACTGGTTTTCAACTTGGGAGTTTTCTCCCTTGCAGTATAGTTACTTCCCTTATCAAAGTGTTCACCTCTCATTTTGATACTATGTATTAACAATTCCAGGATAGCAACTTTTTGTTTATATTTATTTTTGCTTTCAAATACTGAAATTTTGAACAACTGTCATTCTGCAAATCAAATTTCATTGCAATATGTCATCTGTAAGAAACTCTTCAGTGGAAAAGTACCGGGAAAAAAAAATCATTAAATTTGACACCGGTCATAATATTTTTCAATTTGTCCGTACCCTCACTGAACTGTTTACTTTCTAAATTGCAATTCAGGAAATCAACGAGTTTCAAGAAAGAACATATCGGCAAATAACTGAGTTTGAGATTAGAAAATGGTTTTGTGAATACAGGCCAACCAGAACCTTTACACCAGAGATTGTTATCATTTATACTATATGTTAAAACAAATGTTATTACATTTACATGTATTAATCCTTATGTATCTACCAATATATAGAAATGATAATCTTTATTGAAATCATTATTGCATGATAATTAATGCCTTGTTAGAAGTTTTATGATGCATGTCGTCTAATTCTATATACATTCATTATAATAAATTATTATGTTATATTAATACTGTGTTTGATTTTGTTGTTGTTTTCCGTATTCGAAGAACATTTTTTTTTATAATAAAATTTTATTAATGCCTTGTATGATGTTCATGTTCTTGACCTTTGAGAATTCTTAAGTCATCTTCTGTTTAATGCTGAAAAATTCTTTTAAATTAGACATTTGACATTGCATCATCGCGTCGGAATGAGAGCCGTTTGCATCGATATGTTGCTTCATCATAAAAAATGTGAGCATAGCTTAGGCTGTTTTGCAAGATATTGAAGCTGTGGAATTTAATTTCCTTTGTAGATATTAGAAGAAAAAAAACCATCTAAAATATATGGCTTAAAGATCCCTGTCACTGTACTGTTGTTTTTTGTTTTTGTTTTTATAATCAGTTACCTCCCCTTTGTTTCGTTTTGGTGCAGTGTTGGTTCAGAACAATTCTGTTGACCAGGTAGCTCAGTCAGTTAGAGCAACAGGTTTGATAATTTGAGGCTTTGGGTTAAAATTCTGGTCTAGTCAAGCTAATTTCTGTCACTCAGAACACTATCTGTGATTATTTTTATTTATTTTATCTTTGTTATTTATTCATTAAAGTCCTGCTAGGTATACTTATCCTTTCAGAAATGATTCATCATTTTTTTTTTATTTTCGAATGCATAGCTTCAATTTTTACAGTGGTGCAGGAATCCTTAATCTATTCACCCCTAAAGTCACATTTGAACCTTACCATATCGAAGACTGGGCAAGTCCAGTTTAAAAATGTAGGGGCGAATGAGTCAACAACAAAAAATATGATACAAATCGTGCCAAATATGATATTTTATTCACATTACAACTATGAGATATATGTGTATTCATTCCACCATTGCAACAAACAAGTTTTTCGTACATGTACATATTTACATCAAATAATAGCCTACATCAAATATATACCTTAATTTAACTTATCACAGTATTTTGGTCCACAAATGTTCGTAGATAATCATCTTTTTATAGTTAACAAAAACATTAAAAGCAAAAAAAATATATTGAAATTTCGGATGTCGAGAAATATTCGCAACTCTCCTTTCGAATCCAGGAATTGGATTAAGAGTAACATTTAAAAGAACACACATGATTCATGCAGAGAAAAAGTTGATGAATCCCATACAGGATAACGTGGTGCAGTGCAAACTGTCGATCAAAGAAGTATGGCATGATACTGAAATTGACAAGTGTATATTGGGTGATTTGGATATAAGTTAGCAAGATTTCAGCCCAGGGCACCCTGAATACTGATAAGGAAAAATGTCAACAGACAACATTTGAAAGTGTTTTTCTTTTTCTTTTTTAAGTTTCAAATTTTACTGATATCCCTGTAGCTTCAGGGTGGTTGGGTACCTGGTTCGTACCGTCACACATTTGTCTCTATCAATGAAAATGCTGTTTTTCTTGGTAGCAATTTCTTTCTCCAATGCCATCCTGTTGTCTTGAAGATCCTTCCGCGAGTTCTCGGAGTTGTTCAGCCTCTCTGCGAGGGCATCGATAGACTGACTGATCTCGTTAACCTCGCCGACCAATCTGCAATGCAAGAAAAAATATTCAAAATATTGTCATTTATCTACTTTTTCATGAAAGATCTCATATTGCACAAATCCTGTATAGAATATTGTTCTCCTTTCCTTTTACTTTACTTCAAATATAACTCTCTGTTAATGATGCATATGAACTTTTTTCCATGTTGCATATTTTGACATATTTTTACTGACTTTTGTATTGGAACAGAAACATTATTAGCTAATTTTAATGATCAATTTTATTGTTTACTGTTCAAATTTCAGACCAGCCAGCTATTTTTTTGGCATATTTGCAGCTATATCATTATTGGTCAATTTTATTTTTAAAAGAAAAATCTTTTATTTGAAGAGATAGACAAATACAATGCATCCTTAATTTTGAATTCTATCAATACAGACCAGGCCAACTATTTCTCTCTCACACACAACAAAAAGATAGGATTAAAGTTAATTTTCCCCCAAATTTTTGCTTACAATTTTTCTTATTCTATTTTTTTCATGTTTATGAAAAATACTTTTACAAAATATTTCTGAAATCAGGAAAAGATTTTACTCCCCAAAAAACCCCAAGATTTAACAGATTGTTTTTTTAGATGTTATACAAAATCTAGAAAAAATGTAAGAAAATAGATGATTAATATATGAACAAATCTTAAATGAATTGGAGGACAAATAACAGCTGTAATATTTGCAAAAACTACCTTTCGGATTTTAAATTAAGGTCACTTTTTTTAACAGTAGTAATACAAAAAAAATGTGCTCTATAATTTTGAGTAGCATTTCTCTATATATTTTTGACTTTCAACTTACTTGTATTGCACTGGATCTCGACAGAGCTCAACTCCTGGCCGGTATGTCCTGTTGTCCAGTCTCGTCTGGGATACCTTCATTGGATTTTCCTTATCACGGATAGCTTTCTTAAGCATATCTATGTTCTTTTCCATTTGAGCAATTTCATCACAAACCTGAAGCAAAGGTAATTAGTGATCATCTTGTAAATAAGAATAGTTACTCAGTAAGTCAGTGGTTTAGAAAAAAAACACCTTATTGTTGAAGATGAAATTTTCTGTCAGATAAGCATTTCACTTCACGATTAAAATTCACTGATTTTCTATAGAACTGATATTAATTGCTTTTGATGAAATTTTAAAGTCAGTTTAACATTTTACTGATTTTCCATCACACTGATAATGATTGTAAAATATTTCATCATTCAGAAGTGAAAAAAGTCATACTCTAAATTAATTGTTCTCTACTATGCCCTCAAGAGTCTTGTGGTTATTTTAACCCTTTCACCACTGTAGACCATAATGGACTCATCCAGATCAATACATGGTAGAGTCTACTAAAGTTACATAGGGGTGAAAGGGTTAAGGATCCCTGTCCAACTGTACTGTGGTTTTCCCCCTATATACAGTAGCCCCCTTTAACTTCCGTTTGGATATAACTGTAGCACAGCTGAGCCAGGACACTTCTGTTGACCAGATAGCTCAATTGGTTATTCTGTCTTTGCGTATTGCAGAGTTGTCTTCCCTTGTGAGCAGGTATTGATTGTTATGCATTGGTTTGTGTGAGAAAATTACGCCGTTTTCCCAAAAATTGATGACGTTACTCTCACAAACCAATGCATAACAATCAATACCTGCTCACAAGAGAAGATATCTCTGCAATACGCAGAGATGGAATAGCGACAGTATAAGAATCTGAAATCTAGTGTTTGAATCCCAGTCTACCTGCTTCAATTTTTCTTTACCCAAACATTTCATCTTTATTATTTCTCTTAAAAGTCCCGCAAGGTACTAGGTATGGTTTTATTTACAGAAATGATTTATCAAAGCTAGTCATGCTTGATAAAACAGTTTCCAACACTCATTCAGCCCTGAAATTTCATAATGAACTATTCAAACGTTTGATTTGGAAGAGTTCAAATGTGTCTTCAGGGGTGAGTGAATTAAGTAACATTTAATTTATCACTTGTGTACCTTTTGGAGGTTTTCCTCCATCTTTGTCTTAGCGTCTTCCATTTCTTCGATCCTCTTCTGGAAGTTGAGGTCGACAGTGTCGCACTGTTCACGCATATCGCGTGATGTGTCCTCCAGAATATTGTCGATCAACTGTCTCAACTGAATTGAAGCCATCCTCTCGTGTTCGGCCTTCACAATGTTATCATGTGTGTACTGAGCCCATGACTCGGGTGTTGACTGACTGTTGAAAAGGAATTCATTCTTTATTAATATGANTTGGAATGATGGGTTGAATATTTTTTACAAATTTAGATAGAAATATTAAAAAAAAAAAATCAACTGACATTTTACCTTACACTCAAACGGTTTTGAAAGTATTATTCATTCGAAATTTCATGACAAGCAAATATTATATTACCATAAAAGCATGCTATTGGGTCTGTAGAAACAATTGCTGTTTAAGTCACCTATGTCGTTCGTGATTTTTGATAATTAAAAGCAGCCATTTCCAAAGATTATCAAAGATGATTGAATATTGATGTATATAAGAACAAAAAATCCTGATACAGTGTTACTTTAAGTTATAATGACAATAGATTGCACATAATGATAGATCATACATTTCCAGCAGTAATACTATAAATCATTTAAGGAAATTTCCATTTTCTGTAATTATTAATTTACTTAATTAGTATATTGATTTGAGATCACTATTAGAGTTCTTACATTTCTTCGAATTTTGCAGCTCCGGAATAGAATTGTTTATTTGTGTGTCCATTCCTCAGAGCACCGGAACATGTGTCGATTTCTAGGGAGTCTTTCTTATCACTCCAGTCCATCTCGAGGTTCTGTTTTGCTTCTCTGTTCAATCTGCAGAAAGAGGCAAGTAATGATCAGAAAGGCGTTCTTGAAATGAAGAAACTTTATTCATCCATCATATTCAGTTGACAACAAATTACTTATCAGAATGGGGTTATTCATCTATCATACTTGGATGACAATTTATTTATTATTACTTGGTTATTAATTGAGCACTGTAACTTTAGTGCTTTACTTATTCAAACATGACAGGACAAATATTTTTACATATTAAAGTTCATTTTTAAAGTTCAAGGTTAAGACTTAAGTGGTTCATAGAAATGTAAATGAACTGTAATGTGTTTTAATCTGATTTCAAGCTTCAGTTCTCATATGAATGACTCATGGAATATATTAAAAGCTGTTAAAACAGCTTTGATAATATTTGAACAAAATTGGAAATATTATCTTTATACGACTTACAAAATCCTTAGTACAAATGTACTTACTTAATTTGTCTTTCTGCTTGATCTGTGGTTTTCCTTAGCAAATCCTGAACATTGTTAATCATTTCTACCTCCTGAAAAAAATACGAATATTTCTTTAAAAAATAATTTCATGTTAAATTGTATAACAAACATTAGATTGAATTTTAAAACAACAGACGACAACAACACAATAACACACTTATATATAATTACTGTAGGTCAATTTGAAATTTAAAATATCACACATTCAATTTAACAATTTTCAAAAGAGTGTATTGTTACGTACCTTTAAAAGGCCCAATTCAACACTGTCTTGGACTAGGTCAACTCCTGTGCGCCTCTGACGACAGTTGAGATTATCTGTTGCGATATGCAGAGGGATTTCTGTAGCTCGAGTGGCGTTCTCGAGACGTTTTTTCTGGTCTAACAGCACATCTGTTTCTGCAATTACATCCCGAATCTCCCTTTCTAATTCGAATTTCCAGAAATTAATGTCCTGAATTCGTTCTCCTAATTTTTTCGTGACCTCCGACTGTGTTTTGTTAGTGGTTGCTTCCGTTTCGTTGGCACACCTTTTAGACTCGTGTCGGATCCTCTCAGCACTATCACGGTCAACAAAGGAGTGATAATACTTTCCGTAATTGCTTTCATGCCATTCGTTTGGGGCATATTTCGAAGCCCTGAACCCCATCGTTGATATCCCCATATCGTTACCAGTGTTTCCAGTGTAAGTTGTCTCCATCACGGCTCTGGGCGGTGGTGGCTGCAAAATTGGCATTTCGGGAGGAATTTCCCTACTTTGAAGAGTTGTTACAGCAGCCATCGTGTGTATTGTTCTCCTTTCACCCCCTTCTGGTTGTCGTTTTGGGTTTCAGTCGAACACGTTATCAACACTGCCCAAACACTTGCTAGACAGCAACACAACCGTTGTCGATTGTTGCTATGGAGCTATCTGTTTCCTGTTGCAGGTCACGTGATAGAAACAAGGGGCAGTCACTCGAAACTAAATCCTGATTGGGAACACACAATAAATTTAATATTCTGCTATGACAATATCAGTTTGACATTAACACATGAGAATTCAGAATACCTCAATATAATGATATAATTAAATATGGTAAAGTGATTGTTAGAAACCATTCAGGGATAATAATATGTTTGTCGTCTTATGATTTTTAGTTCAAGCACGTGGTTCAAGTTATACGTCTCTGGTTTGTAAAGGCCTATGGGAGACCCGCGCAAGTTCGGCCACCCTTGATATTTTGAGTTGTTCAGAAAATATTTACAACTTTGATCTTCAGCAGCTTACTTGACAGGACGGGACATTCACACGCACAAATGATGTAAAAAATATATATCAACGTCATCTTATTTCTTGGCCCGACAGACGATTTATGTCAGTTTTATGTTAAAGTTAACCGCAGCTCAAACTTTTTCTAAAACTCGCGAAATATCTTCTTTTTTTTTGTATAACATCCGGTGAATAGCTAAATTTATGGAAAATGTTCGAAATGGTCTATTCAATAATCCTTATTCTTCCTTTTTATATTAGTTCACTATTCTGCTTCTCGTCTCAAATTTTAGCCCAAGTTTCCTCTAGCCCTGACACCACCAGACTTTTTGACAGATAAATGTTTGGTGTCAAAATGTCTAAGTCTGGTGTCCGGGCCAGAGGAAACAATGGCTTGTCTCTTTGCAGACGACACATATCACAAATGACTAGTTTATCATCATGTCAAGAGATAGATTCTCTATTTAACCAATATCTTGAATCTTAAAGTAAATGGGTAAAAAGTAGCTAGTTAGATTTTAATCCGAGCAACTCATAGGCGCTTTTAATTTCAAACGATGATAAAATTTAGATTTTTTTTTTAATAATAAATTTTAAAACTTAAGCGCATTTCATAAACACTTTGGAATGACGTTTAAGTTGTGAAAAAAATCAATGTCTTACGTAACCTCAAATATATACGTTAAAACGTGACATGTACACTACTTGAAATAATACAGATTGTTTGTTTATTAACGCAAGCATACTATGCTATACGCAGTCCAGTATATTTTGATCCTGTGTCAGGAAATATTATTATTTATCATCTGAACAAAAACTTAAAAGCAGAAATAAACATTTATATGCATTACAAATGGGTTGTTTAGGTCATCTGGCCTGAAGGGTAAGTATTATCGAGTTTCGTCCGTCGTCCGTACATTTTGAGCATTTTGAATTTCTTTTCAAATATTTCTGGTCAGATTTGTTTGAAATGCCAGGAACGATGATCATTGGATGATTAAGGCCAAAATTTTAAGGTCGGTCTGAATTCAAAAATGGTCGAAAAGGGGGTAATCTTTGAAAAAACACATAAATCTTCCAAAAATATATTCTGTGCGAGAAAGCATGCAATTACTAAGAACAATAGCTCACAAAATTTTATTTTTTAGATAATACATACTTGAACAAGGCGGTCATCTTTCTATCAAAAAAATACGCTTCCGTTTTTTCATATTTTTTAACGAGGATTTAGACGAGATACGGAGATAGGAAAGATATTAGGAATATGCTAGTCAAGTGCTCTTTTTTTCAGATAGGTATGAAATTAAAGATGTCGATACAGCAGGCCGTTGGTCTTTTACATGCCAAACTTAACATTTTTTAGTTCACGAACTCAGCCCACAGGATTTATTTGAAACTAGCAATGAATGCACACGTGATGGTGCAAACCAAGGTCGGGTCAGTCCAAATTCAAATATGGTCGACATTTCGGCCATCATGAAAACACTTCAAAATATTTTTTTTTTTCATTCTTTTAAAAGCTTACTTCTGAACGAGTTGGATTTTCTTCAGATGGGTCCGTCATTTGATGATGAACACGCTACACAGTCTCGTATTCTTAAACTTGGAACCACTCAAACGAGGCCCATGTAGACAGAGCTAAAATAACAATTTGGCTTTGCCTATTGCAGACGACGTACACAATTTGTAGTCGTAGCAATGTTACAGGCCAAAGACTCGAGTAGCCAATTTAGACAATAGTCGACGCAAGATCCATTGCTCTATTGAACGGTGCGTGTTTGATCATAAGCCTTACTAATATATCACCACCTTTGTAAATTAGCCTAAATGTTTATTCTACTGTTATCTTCGTGTATCCCTTTATACAGTACGGCTATTCTATCGGCGTATGTAGCGGCTATCACTGGTGCAGTCTATTTGTTTACTTTTTCGAATCCTTTCGGTAGTCTTTCATTCCAGCTAGCAAATGCGAAATCCTTTTAACAATAAGCTTGAATAAGATCAAATCAAAAATAATTTAACACTTTTGATAGCTTTAAATTTCCATCCTTCTTAGATAATGATCACTGGAATTATCGGCCTCACAGTTTTAGCTCACCTGGCACGAAGTGCCAAGTGAGCTTATGCCGTGGTGCGGCGTCCATCGTCCGTCCGTCGTCCGACGTCAATATTTTACTTTAAACGACTTCTTCTTAATAACCGAAAGGCCTAGGGTGATGATATTTGGCCAGAAGCAAACTGGGATGAAGGGCTACCAAGTTTGATTAAATAAATGACCTTCGCCTATTTTCAAAGTCACAGGGGTCAAATATGTTAAAAACTTTTAACAACTTCTGATGAATAACCAAAATTCCCAGGGTGATGCTGTTTGGCCAGTAGCATGCTGGGATAAAAGGGCTACCAAGTCTGTTCAAATGAATGACCTTTGCTCATATTCAAGGTCACAGGGATCAAATATGTTTAAATCTTTAAATGACTTGTTCTTAATATTCCAAAGGTCCAGGGTAATGATATTTAGCCATAAGTAAGCTGGGACAGAAGGCTATAAACTTTCAAGGTCACAGGCGTCATATGTTTAAATCATTTAATAGATTCAAATGGATCGAAATTAGATATTTTGCCTGTAGCTGTATATTAGTCCACTTTTAAGATAACAAGTGTGAGATTAATACCAGGTGAGCGATTCAGGCCCATTGGGCCTCTTGTTTTAGAAGATGTTGAATGCTTAACGAGTTTAACAGTAATGAACCCTGTGATCTTAATATTAAAAAAAAAAGGAATTTAATGTGTTTTACGGTATTTGATCACTGACTTTGAAACAAAACCGATAGACTTTCATCCCAGCAGACTACTACATGAGTCTTTTGGTTAAACAAAGTAAATCATTTCAATTACGTGACTTTGAAAGTTGGTCAAGGTCATTCATTTAAACAATCATGATAACCCATCACATCAGCAGGTTACGTGACAAATACCATGACCTGTGACCTTATGGTTATTCGTGAGAGATCAATTCAATATTTTTTTTTTAACATTTTTGATTTGGACACCATTAGAGCGAGCCAAGGTCATTAGTTTGACCAGATATGATATCCATTTATCCCAGTATGCTAATAGTCAAAATGCCGTGATTCACGACTTTTCATGGCCCCTCAAAAAGTTATTTTTAAAGTTTCAACACATTTACTAGTAACCTTGGTGTTAATTTGGGTCAAGGCCATTCATTTGAAAAAACTTGTTCTAATCCTTCAGTCCAGAATTCGACATCAAACGGTCTGACTGTTGGTTATACATAAGAGGTTGCTCTAAGGTTTTAGGTATTTGCTCCCTTTGACCCTGAATGTTAGTCAAGGTCATTCATTTCATCATTTTTTTATGTCCCATCATCCCAGCATGCTCAAGACAAACATTCCAAAATTGATATAACACACTTTAACATTCATTTGAAATTTGATAAAGCCTACACCCCAGCGAGCTGTCAAACATCATGGCCCTTGACCTCTCGGTTATACTTCGGAGTATTTTTTTTTTAATTTCAAGAACTTTGATAGACCTGCAGCCTTTTGATTAAATTCCATGTTTTTATGATTCTTAAATAGTCATTTGTTTTTTTTTATATATTTAATTTGGATTCCAGGTCATTTATTTTTAACCAATTTGATAGTTCTCCATTCCAGCAACCCACTGGTCAAATAATTATGACTCTGGGCCTTTTGGTTCTTAAGAAGATGTTTAAGACGACAACAGATATGGATGGCAATAGGTATCACTGGCTCAGGTGACCTAGTGTCGAGCTTCGTGAGCACAGTAATTAAACTTACAACTTAAATATACAAACTTCTTTTTTGAAGCAGTGGACAAAGGAATTTTGAGAAATTTTGAGTCCACATAAAACTTCTTTTGGTTAATTCATATAATCAAAATGTCATAGTATGCATTACTCTCGATACCACAATGATCTGAACCTTGTAAAACCTTGGCTATGAAAGTATCAAACAAGAACGCCTTAAATGAGACCAAACAAGACGATGGATGGATTAAAACAACATGTTTATTACACATGCCAAGATAGCCCCGGCAGAAGTAATGGCAGCAATGCCATCTGTATAGAAACCATGCTACACTTAAACAAATCACGGACAGTTCTATCCATGTACAATGTACATATGAAATCATGAGTGACGAGCGACTGAAAGTAAGCGCAATGTACAAATTGTTTTTTTTCCATCAGGAGGTATTTCCCTACAAAAAAAATACCAGGAAACCAAGGAACCATACTCTTCTACTAGCATGGAGAGACACACACAGCGACAATAAATACTGAACCAGGACGGGTGGGCTTCCGATTCACAGCTCTTCCCGCTGTGTAACGACCACGTTCGGAGGCTGCTTTCATGTGCTGGATATAGCGCAACATTGTATCAGGACAGACCTGACCATACACTACTATACATCGGGAGCAAGCGAGCAAGATGTCACAAAATATTATTCTTGCTTCAAATATTTTTTAAATGAAACACATACATCTAACTAGTGTACATGTTAAAATTACACAAGATATTCGTAACACAAAAATGGCTCCTTTTCTTTTTGTCAGACTCTTTTCAAGATACAACGCAATTTTGTTTTTTAATCAGACCAGGTTTACACAGTAAACATGTATTCTTTACCTAAAAGGAGGCAATTGCAGAGTTAAAAAACATACAGACTGCAAATGTTGCTAAAACACCCTTATAGTTTCATCTAAACGCGTGAGAAAACCCCCAGTTAACATTATCCTACTTCTGAAGTAAGAAACAACTCAACAATAACATATTCAACAGTGCAGACAACTTAAATATACTTCATGCATCTAAAAACGTCTCCCGTCTTTCATACATAGCTCATTTCTCGACACATTTACGTAAACAAACTAAAACAATAATTCTGAATGCCACTTATTTTTAGAGAAAAAGATTTTGTTATTCCTTTAAATATTGATAATCTTACTGATTTTTTTTGTCATTCCTGATATGTTTCAGATTTCAATCATTTCTTGACAAAAATCGTGTAGAATCTCTTCCCTGTGCAAAACTTTCTTTCCCTAGCTGCCATATCATATGGTCAGTTTGTATAAACCCTTCAGTTGACAATGAGTACAGATTTAAATCCTTCATGAGTACTATCGCTACATCACGACAACAGGAAGATTTGTAAACTTACCAGAACGTATCATGTATTGAAAGTGGTTATGGATGATTGCAAGTCCTTCCCCAAAGTGGATCAAATATGAATTAGGAATTATCGTCGAGTTCACAGGTGCAGCAACTAGACATAATGTATTTTATACATCATTCGTTAAAATATTCACAAGATTACCTTAATCTGTTAACACTGTCTGATAAAACATTGGTCAAATTAGCTTGGCACATATATAGGACATGCCAGATGTTCATTCTGAACATTATGTTACCGCCAAAAAGATCTTTACATAGAAGTTGATTCAATATGTCAAACAGAACAAGAACTATTAGCCTATCATATGGGATGTGGAATTTCATTCCACGAGAGGTGGCACAACTTGGATCAGACCTGCCGAGGTTATGACCCCAAATTCCACACCTGAACGTACCATTCCACCAAACCTACAAAATGGTCAACTTTAAACGTTTTTTTCTCTCCCACCTCTTGCCTAGGTTTTTGGTAAAATGTGACACACAAAAACCCAGCAGATTTTCTTGATGACACACAAATCAATGTATAAAGAACACATTTGGAAAGAATAGAAATATGCAGTATGCAAATTTTCACAGCAATTTTGTTTTAATAAATGCAAATTTTAAGTAGCCAACTATGGTAGAAATTCCTCCCTATTTCAGAATGACAATCTGATAGTCATATTTCAGATGACAAGGTTTTTAACATTACGTTATACAGCAAAACCTCGATATAACGACCCTTGTTCCATTTGCCACTTTGCTTACCGCCAACATATTTCTAGGTTTCTCTCTCTCTCTCTTTTAATCTTGTGACTTTCTTTGTAATATCTTTCGAGTTTGGATTCCTTTTTACCAAACACTTTATAATGCCGAGAATTCTCACAAATGTTGGCATTATGTATTCAAGTTCTAATCAAAATTTAGAATAATGTAACTTCCGAAGGGGAGGTCACATGGTGCACACACGCAGACAGCTATTTCAAACAAGAAACATGAATTGTACATTTTTTTCCCCTTATGTGACTATAACCAGATTGTCTCATCTTTTAATGCTTAATTTCCTAATACGATTGGGAAACATTTTATCTTAAGCTGCCTACAAAACCTATGATGTTTAATATTTTCAATTAATAACATACAATGATACATAATGTAATTAAAAATCTAAAGATTGAAGAGGACTTAATGTGAAATAAAAAGAAGCTGGGAACAAAATCAGATTTTTTTTTTTATAAAAAGGAAAAAGAAATGAAAAATTCTATAAAAAGAACAACACAAGCACACTCACGATTTTACGAAAATTCTTGTTCACATCACACTCCTCTGACACAAAGTAATGTTGATATCCAAACATATATAAATTTAACAATAAGCACTATTTTGACAATATATATATATATATAAATATATATACTTCATAAAGTCGTTACTCTTGGAGGACATTTCTATGTATTGCTTGTTTCACAAAAAATCCTGAAATGCACATCCAATATATAGATATATATATATAATTTATATATATACATCAATATTCAATAACATATTAAACTAAACATTTGCTTAATCCTTTAAAAAATATGTTTTCAACAGAAATCCAATTTTGGTGTTTCTTGAAGTGACTGTTTCCCCTGCAAGAACTGAAACTTAGCACAAAATTGGTATGATAACCTCCGTGTCTAAATTTGATACTAATTTCTCATTTTATAGAATATGAACGAATTTGATTCAGCTAAAATATTTAAACATTAAAAAAAAAAAAAAATCAACATTTTCTATCATGTTCTTAGAACGCTGTTCTGTATTTTACACGAATTTATACATCACAATAATGCAAAAAGCTATACACAAAGTATAAATACAATATTTTTTTAAATTCTTCGGAACAAACACTTATAGTATATTTTCTTCGAATAATTCCATCAGCAAAACCATGCTGTTTATGTACATATATTTGTCTGACGTATTTTGTGAAGGAGAAATTCAAACACTGGAGCATCTATAATACAATACATGTACACACTTAGTGGGGGAGCGAGACGTGAAAGAACCCGATTTCTGCCTCAGTTTGACGATACATTATCTACAAATACGATGACAGTAACTGTTACTGAAGCAGAAAAAGAAAAAAAGTCCAATATTAAGTTATGTCCAACATTGCTGTCTGTGGAATTTATCTACCATGTATATTAATCTGAATGGTACATACCGGAGGTTGCACCTTTGAATAATTCATGATTTCTGATTAATTTGTGATTTCATGTCAAATCATGATTTTCTGAAGAAGTGCAATCATGATTTAGTTTGTTATGAAACCATTACGTTCCAATTATTATAAACTGAATAGTGTAGTTCAATCAGGATCAAGTTCAATCCTGATTTTGTTCATTTTACTTACTACCAATCATAAAGGCACCAATGAGACCTCAATACACTTTATGGCCATTAATTATGATGGAGTACCATCTTAAATCCCCAGTTTAAACCAGTGCCATTGATGACCAAAGATTCTAACACTTTCAGAGGAGATTGGAACGTTCTAAGCCTGCTGCACAGCATAAGTGCAAACATCATTGAAAAGATTTCAATTCCAAAAATACATTTTTGGTAATACCAGGGTGAAATTGTTTTATTTTTAATTTACCAAGAATTTATGAAGAATTTCTTTAAATTCAGTATCAATATTCTAAAATTTCTGACATGATAAGCGTATATACTATGGAGTTAATCATACCACACCGTCTGCCAAAAAACACAGTTAAGTCAATCATTATACCTTGTAATATTTTCATTGTACAGAAATCAGGTTGCAGTCTCCAGAAAGGGAAATTTTTGGCTTTCAGGGCCAACATCTACAGGGAACCACTAAATACATACATTATATGATATCGGAACCTCTGAGGTAAAGAACTGTAGTTTGTTCAAGAATGGACCATTTTCCTTTATGGCATTTGCCGAATTTAAAGTTCTGATAATAAAATGTGTCTTGACCCGTATATATTAATGGAATTTGTATGAATATTGTTTCGAAATTGATTTCTCGTTTGATTTACCTATTTCAAAGATATCTATCACAAGGTAAACCAAGAGGACATTTTGGTGAAATGGACTTAAGCACAATTGTTTTATTCAATAAATGAAAAAATAATGAGAAAGTCGCTGACAATTCGCTCTGGGATACTTAATTTATCTTTAAAAATTCAGACAAAATTTAAACAGGAAAATTGAATATTACACTCAAGCATTTATCAGTATCATCATAATTATATAGATCATCAAATGAATATTGGTTTAAGACAATCTGCTCCGATAGTTATAATAGGATCACAACAGTACAGTGCTCAGATAGAAAGGACAGAAAGCCGGAACCAATCTCATTAATATGTTATTTCAATATCATTCCAAACATAATGAAACTGATGACAGTGATCGTGAACAGGTAATAAAATTGACATGTGCGATTACAATGAAAATGCCTTATCAATGATGTATGTTTCCCGTCTGCAAGTTTTGATACCGACCCCCCACCCACCCTACATTGTCAATAAACTAGGGAACCTTTTTTCGGTGTATCGACTTTGCACAGCAACAGTGAAATGCCAAACTTCTTGTGATAAAAATGATACCCCAAACAAACCCTTACAAAAAGATGAATACAGAATTAGAAGCGACTTTAAATCATTATGCCTTTGTTTCTCTATAAAAACGAAAAACAGTTCCTAATTTACTCTGGAGAGAAGTAAGCATATACATGTAGTAATCATTTAGTCAAGATTCTTAGTCAACATCAAATGTCTGAAAATGATTTGGAAATTATTTAAGCAATAACAACTCTGTTCTGCTAAGAAGGCAAACCCATCTGAAGCATTCATCTCCAAGTTTCTTTAAAAAAAAACCCCACCACTTTTGATCAAATATGGAACTCATATTCAGATTATTTTTTTATCAATTTCACAAAATTGTATGTACTATACACAACACCGGTTATTTTGAGTGGTCCGTTAACATTTTAAAAGATAGCAGGCCTCAAAAAACATGATTGTGGAAGGTGATCCATTAGATCCACTGGGAACTTTGAACCAAGAGTGTTGAAAAAAAAGCTTAAAAAATCTTTATACAAGATGAATAGTAATTTGTACACGTAAATCCTTCCAATCTTTCTTATTCTATACATACAACAGAAACACGCTATTAAGAACGATTTTCTAATGAAACAGAGCAGATTCTTGAATGATTCTTTTTCCTGAATATGCAAGTTTTCAGAAATAAATACTGTCAAATTACTGGAACAGAAACTGATACTTCCTGAAAAAGATAATCATCCAAATTTGTTTTTACTTTTTAGGCTGAATAGAGTCCGAAATAACGAGAGTTCATTGCATGTCACTCCCGATTGGGTATATACTTTAATTTCACCAGGTTGTACTTTCATTCACGCCTCCCTCCCTCACTCCATCTCCTCTTTCATCTCGCGTTTCACCGTTTTCGCTTCCTTTTCCACCCCTTCTTCGTCTCTGTATTCTTCTAAGGGTCGCTTGGATGCCATTGAAACTGGTACATTGGACAGAGTGGTTACCTGTGAAAACAAAGCACATTTATCATGATTGCATATATAGAATCGTCAACACTAGTTCAGCGGTCTGACAGCTGGTTCTAAACTTCTTGACACCCCAAGCAGGTTTGAAGAAGATATGATCACACATGTGCCTTTTAAATCTTAAAAAGTCATAACAAATTTTTCATTTGTATTAACATAATTACCTTTTGAGCTATGAAACATGAACTGGTTTGAGATGATCAATTGACAAAGTATTTGACACTTACACCAAGTCTGTTGAAAATATATCTAGGTGTAGCCAGATGTGGATTACATCATTCAAATCATCTCGCAATGTAATGACAGTGTGAAAGAAAGCATGTGCGTGTTAACTCCTTACCTCAATTATTATTTAATTGATCCGATTTATCGTCGTTGTATACATTATTTCAGTGGGAGTGATGTGTGAGTATTTATTCATGTTTACTTATTGATAGGTCTTTTATTGTCCACGACACAGCAAATTAAACCCAAAAACTGAACCTCTATTTGTTGGGTTGACCTTTGAACCTACCATACAGAATTTCACTTCAACTAGTTGTACCGAAAATAATTTACTCATTTTGTAAACCAAAACAACACAAGAATTCCGAAGAAGTGGATGTGTCTCCTGCGCAGGAAGCTGGGAGATAACGAAGAAATAGATGCACTTTTCATTTCAAGAAATAATGTTAAAAGTAAGCAAAAATCATAGATTATGTTTTAGGATGGCATCATTTTGTTATATAATCTGTTATTCTGGGAAGAATACTTGCTATGGATACTCATTGTCTCAATTCCAAGTTTAATTTGTATGATTTGTCAGATGGTTTCCCAAAAATACATGAATAAACTTGTGGATTATGATGTTAAACAGCTAGTGTTGTCAATAACATTTGAAAATGCAAGTATGCTTAACACTGCATGAAGTTTGAGTTTGATTGGCCCAAGGAAACTCAAGTTAATCGCACTAAAACGTCTGTGCGGCCGCCGCCGACATAGCAATACCTATGTGTCACCAGCTTTTCGCAGGCGACACAAAAATGATTTCAATTACTATTGTTGAAATCAATCAATATTAAGCAACTAAATACTCCTATGCATACCATAACAGAATTTTCTATAAATAGTAAGTGACTTTGACCTTTGCACCCTTAAACACAATTTCATTCAAGTAATTATCAGACTATGTAAAATCTGTTTACAGTAACAGTGTATTTCAGATGAAAAGGTCAATTTAAATTAAGGAAATATTTTATTAGTTATAAATGTTCGGGGGAAATAGTTTAATCCAATGCAGAAAGAGGCAGAAGTTTGGTCCCACATGAATTTATAAATAGTAACAGAGACATTGACCTTTGGGAAATGCACTAATCCCTTGCAGAATGAGGCAGAAGTGCGGTCCCACATGAAGGGGCAGTAAAAGAACCCTTTTTAAGGATATACTCACCAGGAGCTGTGGCTGTGACATTGCTGCCTGCTGTGAAGCAGCTGTCGTGACCAGCTGCATGCCCGCTTGTGGGATGATAGCAATGCCAGGGCGCTGGACTGTTGAGAAGGTGCTGATGCCAGGCTGTGACAAGATGGCGGTGGTTGGCAGTCCGTTGCCCTGGTGCGTTGCCAGGGACGACAGTTGCTGCTGCTGCTGACTGGTCAGGCCCTGTAGTGAAGCAGTTGTATTGCGCACTAACGTGACGGGTTTAATTGTCGCCTGGCCCCCAGCCGTCACAACAGCTTGTATTTTATCTGCAGGAAGAGAAATATCATATAATGCACAAGTGAGATAGGACCTGAATTTATGCTAGAAAAGCAAAAATATCTCAATGAGATGAAAAGGAAATAAACAGGTGAGACATCTTGTCATATATCATGATAATAACTGACAATGATATTGTGCTTTATTTTCTAGAAATCAACACAAACATTTTGTGTCTGGTCATATTTTCGAAGTCCTTTCTTTTGTTGACCGAAATCTTTTACATTTTTTTTTACCAAATGAGGAATTGATATTTGATTTGAAAGAACAGTTGTAATGGGCCATATTGCATGTTCCAATCCCCCCAAGGTCTTTAATACAGAGGTGAAAGACACTGCCTACTGAATTGTAGGAAAACTGCAAAATGACCCATGAAACCTTCCTAACATATTGCAAAATACATAAAAGTACTGAAAATAATCAGATAAAAATAATCCAGATTATCTTTAAGCTTCATACCATGACTTGCAGAAGTTTCATCATAATGGGTTACATAATGGGTTACCTAGTGTCCCGTGTTCCTTCTTGATTTCCATGTGTGTCCCGTTGGTGAGCCCGCTGTTTGTATGACCCGCGGGACCATTGAGGACGAGTTGTGTGGCGTTAGTTACAATCACTTTTGGCTTTGTAATCATGGTTGGTAACTGATGAACCGCTGAAGTACCTGACGAACTTAGCGTTGTAGTGATGTTAACTGTCAAGGAAAAAATAATACACATGCACAGTTTAGGAAAAACCAAAAAGTCACATTTTCCTTTGTATAATCAGGTCAATTGATAGTGGTATAATTGTAACATTTTCCTTTGTATAATCAGGTCAATTGATAGTGGTATAATTGTAACATTTCCTTTTGAATAATCAGGTCAATTGATATTGGTATAATTGTAACATTTTCGTTCGTATAATCAGGTCAATTGATAGTGGTATAACTAACATTTTCCTTTGTATAATCAGGTCAATTGATAGGGGTATAACTAACATTTTCCTTTGTATAATCAGGTCAATTGATAGTGGGAAAACTGTAACATTTTCCTTTGGATAATCAGGTCAATTGATAGTGGTATAACTAACATTTTCCTTTGTATAATCAGGTCAATTGATAGTGGGAAAACTGTAACATTTTCCTTTGGATAATCAGGTCAATTGATAGTGGTATAATTGTAACATTTTCCTTTTTATAATCAGGTCAATTGAAAGTGGTATAATTGTAACATTTCCTTTGAATAATCAGGTCAATTGATATTGGTATAATTGTAACATTTTCGTTCGTATAATCAGGTCAATTGATAGTGGTATAACCGTAACATTTTCCTTTGAATAATCAGGTCAATTGATAGTGGTATAATCGTATTTAAAACAAGTCCACTGTTTAAGCATCAATATGGAGAACTTTATTAATCACAAATGTTGAAATTGATTTTGAAATTTACTTTAGTACCACCGACTCCTTTCAAGATCTAATCCATGCATCTATTTTCAACAGATTGGCATGGACTGAATTTAACAAAATTCAATCAAGACTTATCAAGATCAAACACTCAAATCATACGCCTGCAATATATTAGTAAGGGGAAATATTTGTCAATGGTGACTTAAGAATTATGTGATAATTTTGAAGTTAACGATTCTATTTAAACTATGGTTTCAACAATAGCACTATCACACACAAAAAACTATGTGCAAAGTATCATAATTAAAATAATTCCAATGCATTTTTGCAAAAAAATGTATCAAAATATTGAAATGTTATTACAAGAAACAATTTTTGTACATTTTGATTGGAAAGTGAGAATAATGTCCTTTAATACTTTTAACGATTTTCTTCATGCATTCCTTACCTGTTGTAACAATTTTTTTCTGATTTTAAATTATTTCTTGGATGTGTTGAAATGGGAAAACATATTTTACAGTCCAATGACCAGATATAAGGTGAGGTTTTTGAGCATGCTTCTTGACAACCGACTAAGACAATTTATGAAAAGGATTATCTCCCCTTGCCTGCTTTTGGAAGGCAAATGGAAAAGGATTCTGTCTACACTCCATGTAACTTGGATATATCTATTAATACATTAAATAATGTGGATTTGGTCGAAATATAATTTTGAATTCAAAAAGATAACACACCTCCAGGAGAGCTTGGCGCTGACTGACTTATCCTACAGAGGTCAGCAGCTGTCTGAGCTGCCAGTATCTGCGGATGTGTGACTATGGTACCGGCGGGATGGATGTCTCCCTCGTTGGGACCTTCGGGGATAGGGCTTCCTTCCCTAGACATACTGTCCGGGGTGAAGTTACCCGCCATATGACTTGGTGAAGCTGGCGCTGACCTGCACATCAAGATAAGGTAACGTGAATTCACTATTCATGAAAGCATTGAGATGCTACATTCTTGTATTAAAATTCATGACTAAATGACATTCAAAAGCATACAAAAATGTATTTCATCTAAGGTGTTTTACAGTATACTCTTTCATTTGTGGAAAACATTCATATAATCAGAACTTTAACTCCAAACATAAAGGCCATCAGTACACAATTTATAGAACATCTGAAGAAGAAAAAAAAAATAGTTTCAGAAATCAATCTAAAACTAGGTCCAAATTTTCAATGCAAATAAAATATCAAACTCTTGGAAACAATTACCAATTTAATGGAACTCCATAATTTTTTCCCACATGCATGTTAACTGCAAGTTTTGACAAGGCACTTAAAATTGAACCTTTTTTTTCATATCCTTAGGCCTTGAATGCTTTAAATATTTTGTGTTTTAACACAATTTAAAATGTGTTGGTATGAAAAATCTAAAATTGGTAGTTTCAAGATTCTTTTGAAGTTCTAAGAGACGATTTTTTAATTTTACCTTGTCGACAAACCACCAAATGGTGTTCTAAAACAAGGCACGCCTCTTTGCCGCCGTCTCCTAAATGCTTGTGCTGTAAGTTTAGCTTCGGATGCTGGATCAATTCTCCAAAAGGATCCTTTTCCTGGCTCTTCTTGTGATCGAGGAACTTTTACAAAATATCTATTCAGTGATAAGTTGTGCCTAATAGAATTCTGTAATGAGAGAAAACGAAATCTTGAAGACATTTTTTCCAGACAAAACCTTCAGTTTTACCAAGACAGAACTTATTTCCAGTTTATAAAACGGATATTTTTTCTGAAATAAATTTTGAAGAATGGAGAGGTGTAGCAAAGTGGTAGGATAAATTTATCACCTCACTACTAATATAAAGTGAAATGTGTCTGAATAATACACTACTCAGACCATACAAAGATTCATATTCGGATCTATTTAATACGAATTGAAAAGTGATGAAACTGAGAAATGTTATCAATATCATTTTAAAAATATCAACTGGAGCTGATTATAATTTATAGAATTGCAAACACATCTGGCGACTAAATAGTCCAGCTGTACAGCCTGAGGCTATATTTCAACAGATGATTCTAGTCATTGTTTATGTCCACATTATATGTCAGATTGATGCACTAAAACATAATAATTCATAATGGAAACATTTATTTTATCATTGTTCATTCAGATTGTCAGTCATTGCAGAACTCTGGGACAGAAAGGAGTGTGTATGTGTGATGATGTATTTGGTGTACCTGAAGGCAACACAGAACTGTTTTCAAAGTATTACATTGCTTTTAAAATTTGTCTAGTTGCATAAGTATAGTATGTATAACCATCTGTGGCACAGTTTATGTACATGCATGAACATACCACAGACTTGAGGTACATTTTCTTTAAAAAAATTCATCAGAATGTTTGTTGTTGGCATGCTTGTAGTACGAGTTGCACAATGTAAAATTCTCTGACATTCAATTTTCAAAATTGACTTGTTTTAGAACCTTTTTTCTGTTTAGACACCTGTCAGAGATCTCCCTAGAAGCAATCGTAAATTTACTGATGTATGTTCTGTTTACAATATCAATGCAAACTGAAAGAGAATGATTGTGTCCAACATGCTCAAACAACGGATGAGTTTCCGCAATGCTGACAAACACCTGAGGTGGAAACGAGACTATTCCTACATAGTCCCATAATCAAAGATTCAAAAGATAAGATTTTAACTCCATATTAGGGGAACAGTGGTTATTAAATGAATGTGATTGTAGACTGTATATATGCCAATAATACAAATGATTTCGTTTAATGCTTACCTGCCACCCTTTATCTGCCGTTCTGTAATATGGATAATTTTTCGTAATATATGCATATATGCCACTAAGTGTTAACTGTTTATCTTGAGCCGACGTGATAGCCTGTACAATTAACTGGGCGTATGAGTAAGGCGGTTTGGAGTCGTCCCTTGGGCTGCTACTGGCACTATCTGTGGGGGTGGGGATGCTGTCTCTCTCCTCCCGGGGATTTGCTTGTGCACTCAGTGCTGCCATCTTAATATCTGCAACAAAGCTTGGTCTGGCACCTCCTCGAGGGCTTGTGGGACAAGAATTGGCAGCACTGGAATATGAAGGGTGTAAATGAAGATAATGCAATGCACAAACATTTTTGATGATGCAAACGGTAAAAATTCTCTTACTGCAGAAGGGAATTTCAGAAGGGATTTTTTTCACAATAACTAATACATTACTAATTAAAAAGAATTGGACAACTTTTTAACGACAAAAAGTGTAAAGCAAGGAAAAATGATTCGATACCCTTATGAATATTTTTAATACAGTGTTCTAGCAAATAACAAGAATGCATAACTAGAAATTTAACCATACACAGCACTCTGATCGTTCCAAGTAACAGATTAAATATCATGACTCTTGGCTTCAGAGTTCTGTAGATTAAATTGTTTCAACACATCTGATTCTTATAACCTTGAATGTTGCCAACTTGGTCAAGTGATTCGTGTGTACCAATGCAATCTGAGCTAAAGACTAATCCTGCAAGCTACAGACCGAATATTTATACACTTACTCCGAAAAAATTGCTGACCGTTTCTATTTCAATAGAAGTGAACAGAAACTACATATCTTTTTTAAAGAACACAATAATTTACTAACATATAGTGATTTTCAAAATATTGTTTTACAGCCAAATACAGGCTGTTTCTTCTAGCAAAAAAGTGTTTTATTTTTCCAAAATGCAGAAAAAATGAGGAAAATCTTCCCATTTTCAATGAAAATACTTCCATAGTTTTCCAATTTATGCTGCAACAGGCAGCTGTAAAAGAACACCAATATATTATACATCTTTCAAATGCATATAACCCTCTACATTACCTAATAGTTCCAGTAGGTGAAGGACAGGGACTGAATGCATGCTCCACTGATTCAGGAATGTTGATTTTCAGTGGAGGCAAATTCTTTTTCTTAGGTGGAGATTCTGGCTGTGGCGGTGGTGGTGGGGGTGGTGGGGCATTATCTTCAACAAGTGCCTGAAATGCTATTCTTATGTTTGTACTTGGGAACCGCAGCACACATCTGAAAGTAAAAACAACAACAGTGAATTATCATGCTTTTACACTTTTAGTTTTAAATTACTACTAGAATTTGAGTAAGAGTAAAATCTGACAGATATCAACAGAATGCAACATTTAAACCGATTAAGAAACATATCAATCGATTTATTTGAATTGGCTGTACAATCGATTGATTTTTTGATAATAAGTGATAATCAAAACAACACTAGATATAATCATTATGATTATTGAATTGATCCTTGAAACCAATTATAAGGATGAATTTGGGGGGGGGGTCTTGTGTTTCCTTCCTGGTTAAATATATTACTAAATGCAATCATTTTTTTAAAAGTCAGTAAATATTATTCAAACGCCAGCCTACTAGAAACAAGGAAATGTTACCCCCGGTTATTTACAACTCTGAACTGCACCAACTTTAAGATATACAAGACAAGGCAGATTTATGCCTATAAGAAAGTGTATTTTAACACCTCTGAAAACTGCCTAAAATCGTAGCCTTATTTCTGCTTTTTGAGATCTAGATGGGTCCACTTTTGAGAAATCAACATGGAAATAAATTATAAATACACTATAACAACTTGTTATGATTCTTTTTGACAGGACATGTTAGCTATGAAAAAAACTTTGAAAGTGTAACATTAATTGAAAACTGTCAAATATTTGTTCTGACAGACAGATGATTGCTGATCGCCTTGACCTAGATCTAGAGATTCCTATAAATTCAAAATAATCCAGGATAATAAATATGTTACTTTAATTACACTTCACTATAATATTCAGATCATGATAAGGCCGAAAATACATGTGTTTCCCCTAACCCGACCGACCCTATATTTTTGCACCTACCCTGAAGTTATTTTGGCCATTTTCAAGGAAGGACTATTAAAGTCAGGTTTCTATTTCTATATAGCTTTAGTTAAAACTATTTAAAAACAATAGGCCCAATGGGCCTGCATCGCTCACCTGGTATAAATCTCACACTTGCAACCTTAAAAGTGATCAAAAATAAAGCTACAGGCAAAATATCAGTATTTATTCATTCAAAAAAACCTGTTAAAAGATTTTAAAACATTTCACCCCTGTTACTTTGAAAGTCGACCAAGTCATTATGTTGAACAAATTGTATAGCCTTTCATCTCAGTATGCAACTTGCAAAGTATCAACATCCTGGGACCCATGATTATTCAGAAGAGGCAGTTTAAAGATTTTAAACAAATTTGACCCCTGTGACCTTGAATATAAGTCAAAGTCATTCACTTTAACAAACATAGTAGTCCTTGATCTGACTAAATATCAACATCCTGAGCCTTTTGGTTATTCGTTGTTTAAATATTTTGAACATATTTGCTCCTTGTGACCTTGACAATGTCATACATTTAAACAAACTTTGATGCCCTTCATCTCAGCATGCTACTGGCCAAATATCATCACCCTGTGCAATTTGGTTATTCAGAAGAAGTTATTTAATGTTTCTCACATATTTGACCCATGTGACCTTGAATATAGGTGAAGGTCATTCAAAACAAACTTGATAGCCATTTACCCCAGCATGCTCCTGGCCAAATATCATCACCCTGTGCATTTTGGTTACTGAGAAGAAGTTGTTTGAAGTTTTTAACATATTTGACCCCTGTGACCTTGAATATGGATGAAGGTCATTGATTTGAACAAACTTTTTAGCCCTTTAGTGACTGTGCAAGACAGCGCAGAACAGACAATGAAAATATAAAGGCCAAAATGGGGTTTCAGACCATCAACATGTATGATCAGATTTGACGTTGCACACGAGGTGGATGTTATCTCTGGTCCGTTTGAATAGGCGGATAGTTCGAACATAATATAAATAATAAAGTCTGTCTAGTGATTAGTTTGAACCCTGTTTACAGACACACAATTTGAATACTGAAATTACGTATTTTTTGACCGAGTTTGGCTATCTGCGATGCAATAATATGCTTACGAAACTCACTGAAACCGTTATATTTTCGCATCAACAACGTTTAATTAATAACGGATAGTACTCGTGAAGCGTGACCATTGTTGTCATTGATGTCTGACAATTTGTATCTTAATAGACACATGTCATGATGATTGAGTTTCTTTCTTGTAACCATGTGCACGAGCCAGTCAAACATCTTAAGGCCCTGACCATGTTCAATATACTAACATAAAACAGAGCGCGGGATGTTACTGTCATATCGATGACAGATGTGTGTATTGTCATGATATTACTGCGATTACAATTTGATTATTAGCCAACGATCCCTGATTTATTACTTAATTGATATGTTACCTATACATGTGCCAAAATAAAAATATTTGACAAGGTAGTCGATCAAACTTATAAATATGTAATTGCGGTTTCAATCTACCCCTTCGCATACCCTTCGCATTCTGATATATTACAATTGAACTTCTGTCAAAACTCAAGAAAACATCTACTACTTTGCGGCCTACACACTTGTCTCTGCTTTGCGATCGAACTTAATAATAGATGATTGTATGTAAATAAATATCAGAAAGATATATATACCATTTATTATTCATCTACAGATTTGCAAATTTATATTGCAATAGGCTGATGTTTTTCCGTATCAACGACTTGACTGTTTGTCATGTCGACTCGGATAGTTTGAACTATTCTTTATTTTAGCGGCTATAATTTTGTTTAAATCGGACAATATCTGTTTTAGTTTGTTCGAACTGACAAGAGGTTAACTGTACACAGCACCTTGCATCTTCGTCTGTGCTTTTATTAAAATTTAATAAATCTTGTCCAGACCAAGTTTTTCTTACTGGAGCTAGGGCTCGTAAACTGAGGGTACAATATAGTCTGCTAAAACTGACCATAATCGCAGGATCAAAAAGTCTGATCAGTCACTTGTTTATGGTCAGCTATCGACTGTTTTATAAAACATGGGGAATGTCGTCGAAATCTGACGACAGTGATTGTTAGAGTTATATACATGTTTGTCAGAGAAAATAAACATTTCTCACTCACTTGACTAGATGGCATGTCCATACTCAATACAATATGGATGCTACATTGTTTTATTCAATCGACTGCTCAAATCGACAACCGTTTTGCCATCAACAATAGGGTGCACTAGCCAATCAAAATTACTTCCGGTTAATTTGATCAAATGTAAACATTGGTTACACAGTGATCTGTAAGCAGACACAAACTAATAAGCTCGTTGGATTTATATCAATAATTAGTACTGTAAAAGCATATATTTTTGTTGGGGTTAAATTTCATTGTTTTTGATTTGGGACAAATTCATTGGGGGATTACATTTCGTGGAATCAATATTTTCCAAACCAGTGATTTTTTCTGTTTGACACCTGGACAATAAGTCTGGCTTACTGTACTTAGCCCGAGGTGATCACCATTCCACTCCAGGTAAATTTTTCAACCCTCGAGTCAGTGGAAAACAATAGATCGACCATCGCTCTATGGTCATATAATTTAGTCTTAACAAACAAGTGTGGTTGTTAATAGCTATACACAATGGAATTAATTAGGCCTATCAACATTTTATAACACAAATTCTGATAAGAAATGGAGCACATGCATTTAATAAATATGCACAATTACCTCGACACATTGTGTGAGAAAATCATGCCGATTTCAATGTAAATTCTACTCCAGAAGAATGACGTGCATTTTAATAATTTAGGCAATAGTTTGTATATTGCATTAGAACTTTATTCCCCGTGTCTCTAATGAAAAAAAGTTTCGAAATCGGGGCATACCGTCTTGACAGCATGGTGCCGGAAATGGACCCAAATTTAACAATATTGTTGTAAACAACTGACAACGACTGATTTATTTGATTATTTTAAGAACGGGAATATTAAGGTTTTTGTTTTTTTTGTTTCTATACAAGTTGATTTCACTGCACGGCTTGTGAAGTACAGGTAAATCCGGATGAGATATCTGTCATGCTCTATAGTTTACATACAAAGAGCGATGTAATTATAGAACTGTGTTACAAATATAACGCTTGTGCCTGTGATTATAATTGCACTGTTTATCACGACTTGTGTCTAAATGTAAATACAGCATGGTTTGTAATTAAAGTAATAGTTTATTTCATATTTCATGTGCTTAAAATTTCGATTATATTTCGTGGTTTTCTTAAAACCACCAAATAAACGAAATGAATTCCCCGACAAAATATTATGCTTTTACAATAATATCAGTAATAACAAAATATCCTCAGCACTTCTAAGGATTATAATTACAAAACAACTCGAATGCGAGGAAAAGGTCAACTGGTATGCAAGTTTTTGTTGTCAACAAGTCGATTTGACAGAAGCAATTCTTATTGGCAAATACATATTGATGTACGCAAGATGGCTGTCGATGCGAGTAGTAAAAAGCACCTCAATTGAATTTAACGATGTAGCGTCCATATCGTATCGAGTACGGATATGACATCTAGTCAAGTGAGTGGGAAATGAATCAACTGAAATAAAGTCAGATTATTTTCTCTGACAAACATGTAAACTCTCACAATCGCTGTTGCCAGATCTCCATGTTTATAGAGCAGTCCATGGTGTCATCCGCAAAAAGACGTACAGCGAGGTGAAGGCCAACAGGAATGTCGTTAATATAGAATAGAAAGAGGGACGGACCAATAACCGAGCCTTGAGGGACACCAGACTTGACATCGACAATGCTATATATTCCCCCTTCAATGATGACAACCTGCTTCCTATTATAAAGGAAGTTTTCTTTTTAGGTGTTAATCTTCTCATTTTCACCATAATGACAAAGCTTATGACAAAGAAGCGAATGACTAAACAAGCGACCTAAGCCTGCGATTATGGTCAGTTTTAGCGGACTAGGTACAATCATGCTTCAAGGTGAACCAGCTCATATTCATACTCCTGAGCATTCTCACCTGAAGCATTTAAAATTTTTATTTAACATTACACCTTATCAAACTTAAAAGAGATTGCATTGGTTGTTTTGAATCAACAGAATTTAATAATTTAAGTGTGTGGATTGACAATCAATTTTTATTGAAAAAACAAAAGCTCATACTTACAAAATAGCATTTTGGAGATACTGTCAAAACAGTTAATGTTTATAAAATGTAATAACCGGGTGACTAAATGCGATTTGTCTGGGAGATTCTGTAGCCGGTTTTGGATAAATCTATTCATGGGGCGAATTGTCTTATTTCTTTTTAATACAAAATCTATATTGCGAATACTGAAACTTAATACGTCGATATAATTCAAAAATAATGTGGAAATGATTTATATAGTTCCATATTTTTTTAACAAAACATCAAATACGTAGAAAACATAAACAAAATAAAGCAGCCATTTTGTTTACATAGCCGCCATGTTTATTCGAGCACATGGTAACATAAAAATGCCTATAATAATGAAATTGCACAAATTGTCAAATATAAATGCATGTTTTTTCGAATCTTTAATTATAATTAGTATTCGACGCCCTGATAATTAAGTTGTGTATGCCATAGTTCTGGCAAAAAATGCGGTAGACAATTGATAGAAGCCGAGGGGCCATCCGAAGGGGAGTGACATTGTTTTGATAACAATCCACCACGCTACTTACGTCCTTGGCAGTTGCAGAGGGGGTGCTCCTTTCCTTTGAAATATTCCGTCAATAAATATACCATTTTTACCTCCACATCTCATGAAAAAATTAGGATGTTCGTAGCAAATTTCTAAATGAACTCTAGATATGAAGCTGGAGTGTCCCATGTTTACGTCTACCTCTCCCTTACTGCTGTTCCGACCTATCGTGACGCGAGCTTGCCGCATCAAATATTCAAAGTCTCTTCCTTCCAATCGAGCAATTGCGGGTTCCTTTGGTTCTGGGTTCCATCCTACTCTTGCAGGACTGGCCGGTGCAGACTTAAGGGCTAACAATGCCCAAGCGTCATTGTCCGAGGGCTGTTGAACAGCAGACATCACGAGGCGTCCAACGCTCCAAAATGGCAGATCGCAGATGAAAAACAACGTACCTCGTCCCTGGGTGTTTACATCACAAATTTTCCCACAGTGCACTGCGAAAAAATAATTTTGAGGTCTGTTGAGAATGAGGTAGACCGTGAACTGCAAAGCAAGCAAGCACATGTAAAATCGAATCTACAAATATAAGAGTTATGGATAAAATGTAAATTGAAATAAAGTGTAATGTATGTTTAGGGTTAAATTTATTTCGAGCAGACTTTTTTTTTTTACTAACTGTTTTCATTGATCAATACAGAGAGTCAGACGTATATATATACGTCTCTGATCAATAGTAGATAAAGTTTTGTTAAAAGTTTACCACGGCAGAACTGTTTTAAGTAAATGAAATATAAATTCGCATAGTCCTAAGCCCAAATATACTCGGTCGATACCCTGATTGTAAATAAATATGAAAATTGTGTTTCTAGGTCATCATACATGTATTTATCTCCTATATATAGCTTGACTGTGAACCAGGTCACCGAAATATACACAATGTATATATATGATACGTTAACTGTATACAGACAACACTGAGAGAAACGCTGCGACTGATATGACAAGGATGGTATCTTTTCAACTCGATCGGTACCTCGTGTGAAATTAACACACAGAGTGTTATTATTTATTTACCTACATATTTAGCTTTTATATACCAATAACTGGCAGCACAGTTTCTAGCCCTCTCTTCTAATCATCATTATAGCTCAATATCTTTTATATACTTACTAGACCTTGTCGTCCTATTTTAATTTACACTATATTAGTGTATATTATGTCAATTTTAACTCTTTTGCTATATCAACATTACACTTGAAGTGTGTTAACCCTCCTATTATATACTNATTAGTGTATATTATGTCAATTTTAACTCTTTTGCTATATCAACATGTATGTACATTACACTTGAAGTGTGTTAACCCTCCTATTATATACTGCCTGTGTGATATGCAGGTGTTTCACTATTATCACTTTACATCATTTTTTAGTATAGTACTTTAAATTTAGTGCCTGTGATATCTATTTATATGCTGCTATGTATGTGCTAGCTTTCTGTGATAGTGTATAGCATGAATTGTTGTTATCTGTTGTTTTTTTTTTATCATACCGGTTTGTCGCAAAAATAGCGCTACAGCGCTAATGTTTCTCTGTTTGATATATGCGACGTTAAATAAAGTTTCTTGTATCTTGTATCAAGAGTGCGGGTTAGTATCAATGTAGTCCCGAGAAGTAATCCATATCTAATCCGAGGTTCAAAATCCGTTGGGAAGCATTTTTTGTAGTGTTGATTTTGATCTATATATATATATATATAGATAATATGACATCTAAAATAAGCCTACGGATCACTAGCTACCTATAACATTGGACATCCGGATAGAAAGCTTGAAGAAGAAGAAAAAAGTGGTAAAAAACCAATGAGGGGAGGGTCGACGTTGGGACAAACTTGTAGCTATATATATAGCGCCAGGATTTTTTTCTTCAAAACATTAAAACACTCTTTTTTATTATTGTTTTTAGTATCATTTGTATTTTCAAACCTCCTATTCGATTTTAAATTAAGGGTATGGGCATGGACAGGATCCAAAAGTGGAAATAGGTATTCAAGTGACATTCCGAAACACTTCTCCTCCTCAATGGAGCGCCCCCTTGGTAATTGTAAAATCAGCATGATAACAATACGAGTATGGAGAATTGGCCTTATTTATCCTAAGGCATCCCTGGACGAAGGGTTTTGCTTTCCCTCGGAGCAGAAGGATGGGCGTAAGTTTTGAAAACGAGACTCAATAAATGAACATTTCGATTAATGGTCATTAACAGATTTTTTATTTTCGATCTGATTTCCATGACGGTCATGATGATCTTCTTCTCAATGTGGTGTTTCTTACACCCAATTTCACGTGCGTGACGTCGCAATGTGACAACACAATATGACATGACGTCATGAAGTCGGAAACTTTTCTATATGTTGTGATGCAGAAATTGCGACGCCTTTTTGTGGTTTCTGAGCTGATTGGAATTGAGAAAAAATACTTTTTTTCATACACGGGGGTGTAGGGTATGGAAATCATATATGCCTCTGGATTTTCAAATTGGTGCAAAACCTTCGATATATATCGGGTTTTACCCAGTTTGAAGAAAATCCTTAGGTGGAATTTCCCTTATCTACACCACTCGGCATGAAAGAGTTTTATAATACCCTTTGCGGCATTGTTTAATATTCTACGCCAGAATTCAATACTTTCATTCATCAATAATAAATTTTGGGCTTGGTAAAGAATGAATGTTTTTTTTTCTTTCTATTTTGACCCATCCTCGGTATTAATCCTCCGGGGGTTATGCTCACTTTCGCTCTCTGCATCCTTGGAATATGAATGGCAAAATCGGGCTTAGTGTGCGCAGAGCATAGCAAATTCAGGCTTAGTGTGCGCTACCTTGAAGACGAAACAAGAAGACTAGTTTCATCATTTCAAAAGAATCTCGCGGTCGCGTAACGGTAAAATTGACGGGCTTTGAAGTCGGGTGTCGCTCTTTTTTAATCTTCAAAAGGACAGCACCAGCCTACTGATTTGTCAGGTCCTTTTCACTTGATAACAATCAAATAGCTAGCTGTGTTCCTTCAATTTTGCTTTGACATATTCCAGGGTTGCAGAGAGAGAAAGTGAGCGGAACCCCTGTAGTATCGAGGATGAAACCAGTATTATATAGAAATACACCTCTGCCTGGTTTGCTATCCAGAGTCGGACAGACACTGTCTTGGCATCTGACGGGCAAGCTGCAAATTTACATGGATTTTCCCCATAAATCGTCGATTTATGGGATATCGATGGGGAAAAATCATCGATGTATCTGTCACGGATTTTCAGTGCCGCTCTATGTTGAAATCAGAATTTAGTACAGAAAAACCAAGAATTTTATCGTTAAAAATATATGTAATCATTATAATGGTAGGCCTATTATCTAACAATTAACTCAAACCATAAATTATTATTTTATGTAAAAACGTCATATGGTGTCCATCCCATGTCATTTTGCACCGGTCCCTCATATTCTGTATAGGCCTATAAGAAATGTTACAAGCCTTGTTGAAGCCGTATATCATATTTTCTTCAAGTTAAAACTTTGTGTTATTTTGTATATTTTTTTTCTCTTGTATCCTATCACCATTTTAGTTGGTAAAATATTTAGCGCTTAAAATTGGCTGGAATAAAATAAGAAAAGAAAATAAAAACAGAAAAATGCGTCAGTTACTGAGTTCAATTTTGTAAGATTGCCTAGACTCGCACGATTTGTCTTCCTTTGCATTGAGTGTCCGGCAATAGGTGGCGCTCATGCTGTCGCCATGTTCTGTATCCCTTGGCGACGTGTAAATTTCAAAGCACTGTATTTGTTGGAGCTGTATCCTGTCACAGCATACAACTGAAATAATGGCGAAAACTTATGATGGACCGAGTTTGGACCTGGAATATGTCGTGGGATACAGTAAGTAATGATTATTTTTGTATTGTTCATGTATTTACTTAGTAAAGACAATCATATCATAAAAAGTGTTTCGGTTCTATTATCTTCATGACAACATTGTGTTACTGTATCATGTGTTGTCCATCATATAAACAAGAAAGCATGGATTTGTTTAATGCTTTGTTTTATGTTATGTTGACATGTAAATGTTTAATTGCAGTATTCTTAAATGTTGGCTTATCGCATGACAGCTGAAGAGGGAGAGAGAGCGGGGGAGGGGGGCCGGTCGATCGATCAGAGTTCATTGAGCTGAGTTAGAGAGGGGAATCAACGGTGTTGCTATTGACTTATTTGACTATTTTACTCCAATATTATGTCTATGGGGATATGTAATCTAAGGTTGAGAAAGCCTCCCAAATATCAGCAGCAACATTTCAATACTAGGATACATTTGTAACAGCTAAGATAGAAAAAGTACATGGCCAGACCATGATTCGAACCATGTACCTCAAAACTCAAGATGGACGCTCTACTAATTGAGCTAACTGGTCGCTGGCATTTGACCCAGTCCAGCCCTACTACCTTCCTCCCTCCTTTTTCTTAGTCTTTGCACCCAAAGACGGCACTAATTACAGCCCAGGTTTGGGTATCATTCAACTAATACTTGAAGTAAGGGTTGGTCACAGGCATCACTGTATCAGATTCAGAAGAGGAAAATTGCACAGCCAGACTGGGACTCAAACCCTGTGACCTCTGAACTCTAGATAGACGATCTACCAATTGAGTTACCTGGTTGCAAGCAATTGACCCCGTCCAGTAGCCCGAGTTTCCTCTGGCACTGACACCAGACTTATACATTTTGGCAGATAAATGTCTGGTGTGGGGCCAAAGTGCACTACTGTTTGAAAACTAGAAATATCCGCCACTGTTTGGTATCGAGGATTGACCAATCAGCAAAAAGGTGCGGTCCGGAAATCTTTAAAACAGGAATAATATGTTCCGTTTTCGATCCTGATCAGTACGATTTGTTGATTAGTCACTCCCATTACCTGCAAAATGACATTTGCTCAGGTAGGAGATTTTAAATGATTGAAAACAGAGGACTCTACTGGCGGAATTAAGCAGCTGTTGGTGATAATATTTAAATAAGAGCGAATTTGTATAAATAAAAACATCCATTTATCAATATATATGTGAGTTATGTGTTGTGTCAGTAGATTTTTTGTTGTCACCACTTCAAAATTCCCCTATACCAAACGGTGTCGGAGAATTCCACATTTTCATATAGTAGTGCGCTCTGACCCCACACCCAGACATCTACCTGTCAAGATATCTTAAGTCTGGTGTCAGGGCCAGAGGAAACTCGGGCTACCAGTCAATTGAGTTGGAATATATTTGCAGGTCTGCTTAGATATCAACCACACAGGAAACGTTTATTTTGACTGAGGTTAAATGGGGTTTCATAGTCATACTTTTTAAAATATTTTTTTTATAATCATTAACTATGTTGTTGATATTTAATGACTTTTTTTCTTTACTTTAAGGTGGAATTACAAATGGCCTCAAGGTTCATCCCGACAGACACCATTTGATCTACTCGCTTGGGAACACAGTCATCATTGAAAACATCGAAACCAAAAAACAGCAAACTCTTATGGGACATTCGGCCGATGTATCCTGTCTGACAGTTTCCAACTCGGGGAAATACATTGCCTCTGGCCAAGTCATTCATATGGGTTTCACAGTTAGTATTCTGGTTTTCCAAAATTTCTTGTTAGGTCAACAAAAAAATGGCTGTTTTGTTTCATTTTATTTCTGAAAATATTTCTCTGGATTTTATAAGGCATCAAATTTTGTATTTTTTTGCAAACAGTTTCGTAAGTACAGGATATACATAAACAGGTTTTTGACATGATATAATCTTAAACAAAAATAGTTTGCAGGATTTAATTTTCATTTTATTTAGGTGAAAATAGGGATAACTATAGTAGTATCGGTTAAAATTGTATAACACACACTTCCTTATCAAATGAATTATTTTTTTTCATTATTTTTTTTTTTATCGTGTTTTTTTTTGATAATAAATCATATTATATAGTGTCAAATCATTCAATATTATCTCATTACTTAAAGTTTAATATGGTCTAACATACATGTATCTCTATTATCGGTACGCCAACAATACCAGAATCCAGGAAATAAAGATTCATGTTAAAATAAAATAAATACATGCTATTAAAATGTAAAATTATGTAAAAATTCTCGCCTGTAGATCAGCTGTTAACAGAAGGGAGAGGGTTAATGCAGGCAAATGGGCTCTGCTTGTTGCTTTGTCTATTTCAATAATTGTCCAATAAATCTGAAATGAAGATACCTGGGTAATGATTAAAAAAAAATAAAAATTAAGGCTGTATAAATGTCTTTTTTTTTTGTATCTGTCACAGTATTGTTTTTGTTATGTGAATAAAGAGTTTTTTATTTGTAACTTATATGTAAGCATGCGTTGGTTAAAAAAAATAAGAAAAAAATTAAACACATGTATTTTTTTGTTGACATTCTGATATAATCATAATTATGGACTAATTTTATTTGTAACTTACTAGTAGACATGCATTGATAAAAAAATAAGTAATGAAAGTATTTTTTTATTTTTTAAAAATTAAAAACATGTATTTTGTTCTTTTTACAGGCTGATATAATCATATGGGACTATGAACAGAAGGCAATCTATGCACGCCTACAACTGCACAAGGTCAAAATTGAAGCTCTGGTATTCTCCCCAAAAGACAGCTACCTTCTTTCTTTAGGAGGACAAGATGATGGCTCGTAAGTAACTTAACCGTTGTGATGGGCAATCGGTTTAAAATCATAATCGATAATCGGTTTGTAATCGGAAGTACTAAACCGATGGATGATCGATTGCATAATCGGTTTATAATTTTATGCGACTGAATACCCAAATAACGTTAGAACACTACTACATGTATTACATCAATAAACTTACATATAGTGTATACTTATATCACGTTGATTTCAATGATGAAACAATTATATTGATTATGGAATTTGTAATTGATAATCGGAATCGGATAGGGCAAAGTAATCAGTTTTTGAATTATAATCGATCATCAGCCTATCACTTCTTAATAATGGCTATGTTGAGGGGGTAAAATCTTGTTTTTAGGTATTGAGAAAAAAATCTTGATTCTGGAAAAAACACATATTTTACATAAGGGTAATGTTATTTTTGCGACTTTTCCCACATTTCATATCATGCAAATTTATGATTTCCCCAATTTAAGTTCTCATTCATTATTATGTGTATTTTGTTGGTATTCATCAGTGCACAAATCTCTTAAAATTCCATAATGTACTATAATCTAGCGCACAAAAATAAGTGCGTTAAATCAGTATTTCTGCTTTTGTTTTCCACCCTGACTGTCTTTTGTTTTTACAGATTGGTGGTATGGGATGTCGCAACCAAAAATGCAATCTGCGGCTCCAAGGCTCAGAGTGAAAGTGCTGGAAACACATTGTGTCTGGCTTACCATGAAACAGACGAATTGAAATTCTTCAGTGGCGGAGAGTAAGCATAATTTTAATTAGTTGGTTTGTAGTTCAGCTTTAATTCTGTGTAATTCAGGGTGGTTGGGTTGCACAGTTGATAGTGCACGCGCTTTCATGATTTTTAATGAAGTAAATATGTGTAAAATTTGATTCTTGGCAATTGTGTAATACAACAGTAAAACAAAGCGACTACAGCTTGTTTCAATTCCTTTCGCGAAATTATTGAAATATCGTTTTGAATTCCTTTCACGAAATTATTAAAATATATATCGTTTTGAATATTTTCATATAATTAAAATCATAAATGGATAATGGGAACGATTATTTTGTCATGCATATACATTGTATAAGTCTTTTTTGCTTTCAGTCAGACACTAAGAGTTTGGGAACTGAATGTAGATAACAGGAAAATTAAGCCACAAGACGTCAGGATGGGACAACATGTCCGAATGAGCAAGTGTATACAGGTATGTAGCAGGTATTATGTACATTAAATGTAGGTACACAGCTTGGGTATGTCTAAGGATTGAAATGCATTATTTAACATTGATGATGGTATGCAACAAAATTCTAAATATTAATAATAATATACAACTTTTGATATAGCGCCCTATCTAGCTAACATAAGCCACTCTAAAGCGCTTTACAGTACATAGATATACAGTTAGTGTATACATACATTAATCAATAAAAATGTGGAGGAATTTGCAGGAGCTGCCTTATAAGGTGCTATCTACTTAAGTCCTATGCCACCTGGCTAACATCTCCCTATGTGTGTATGTCTGTGTGTGTGCTGGAGATGTAAATTGTTCTGTTAAACATAGTCTATGATGTGTGGTAGCGAATTTGGAAACTTCATTTGGCCAAAACTTTGTTGCATACCATCAGAAATGTTGAAAAGAATTAGATGCATCTATGACAGTCAGTTTAAAACACCGAAGACAATTTGAGCTTATTGTTCTTCAGGTCTCAATCTGTTCAAAACCTTTTCTTTTTTAAAGTGCACAATTTATAATTTGGCAGAAATTAAGCCATTTTTTGAACAAACCAGCTTGATCTGTATATTTTCAACAAATTTGATGGATAAAAGATTGAAAAATTTCTAAAAGACTGGACAACAGACTTGAAGCCTTTATAAATTTATACTTTCCCGACGGTGGCCGAGTGATTTACTGATTAAGGCATCTGACCATCTAAGATCACTAGCTCTCCATCAATGGGTCGCAGGTTTGAGGCCTACATGGGGCAGTCTCCAGCAACTCATCCATAAATTGAATATAGATTTTCTCATGTTTTGAATTCAAATATGGAGATTAAAAAGAAAGATTTTTTTGAGTTTTATAAGTTGAAATTGTACTAATTTAATAAATTAAGTGATAATTCTAAATCTTCAAAATATCATGATATTTTCATAACTTAAAAGACACTTTATTCTCCCCCATTACACAGAGATAACCACACTTCTGGTCAGGGAAAGATATCTCTGTCTTACCATAGGGTAAGATTCTTAAATGTCTGGCCCTTGGCCAAGCCTCAGGCTAGACATTTAAGAATGTTACCCCTTGGGTTGCGGCTTCTCTGTCTTTAAACCCCAAGGCAGGGAAAGACGATATATCTATATCAATGGTAGACAGTGGGATAAAAAAAACTGAAAACTGAAATTTTAATTTGCTACATTTCAGATGAAAGGTAACTACCTTCTGTGTGGTACCTACACAGGAGACATACTCGGCATAAACGTAGATACAAACCGCTTCCAGTTTCTCGGTCCTAAAGGGGGACACAACTCTAAAAAAGCAGAAAACTTTCAATGCGGAGTTACTGCCCTTGCACACTTGCCAGGCAATCAAGAGATGTTGGTAGGATCTGGAAATGGAGAAGTTGCTTTAGTGACATACCGTCTTGTTAACGAAAAGAAAAGCGAATGGGTATTTGAGAAGAAAAGGTGAGCATTTGTTTTCTTGTCTAACAGTCATATTTATGCTTTTATCAGCTCTTCTAATTTAATTACTAAGTAAACTAGTTTTGAAGTATTTTTTGTAGTAAACTGTTTAAATCTGTTCGAATCCTGGTGTAGCAAGATTTTTTTTTTACCATTATAAAGAAGATCGGTATGGACACCTATCAAGTATTTGTAATGTTCTTCATTTTGCCCTCTTGTGATCATAAATACCATTATAGTTCACGAAAATGTGGATAAGTATACATCAAACGAAACATTGAAGTCATGACACATGGTTTGAAACATGTACATGCAATGTACATTTTACATTTCCATATACGTGTATGCGCAATCTTAAGTTGACAATGCGCGCAAACAACAAGATACAATGTTGTACACTGCTTCTGAAATCAAGGACGACACCGACCTCAAACGTTCTATCATCGACCAATCGATGAGCCAGATGCAGTGAGTGACATGCTGAAACAACAGTTCGGTTTGTGGGCGTGTTCTTTTTTAACACGGCTTGTTGACGACGTGACGATTTTGATTGTAATACCCTGTGCACTTTTTCCTTTATTCATTTGTTCATATTTATTTAAAGGTCATGGTTCGACAAAAATTGTAAAGGAGAAAAGGTCGCTGTGGCAGCCATTGCATTGAGAGGTGATGGTCATCAGGTAAATTATAAAACTGGATAAATTTGTTACAATTTTTGAAATGATTATAATAGTAATATTTAAAAAAAGAAAAGAAATACTTTGTATTCAGAATTTGACTAAATATTTCTCATTAACTTATTCACCCCCAAAGACACATTTGAACCCTTCCAATTCAAAGGTTGGAATAGTTCATTATGAGATTTAGGGGTGATAGAAAAAGTTATTCAGTATCGCACAATTGCAGACTTTTTACAGGGTGAATATGCGGTTTTATTGATCAAAGAAAAAATTATTGACCTGACAGGTATTGTCTTGGTCAAAATTGTTTCATTCAGTCAACACCACAACAGCATATTCACCAAGAAAAAGTTGGGAATGGTACACATTTCAATTATTGTTTAGTAATAGATATTATATATATAATTCAATTACAAAAAAAAATATAATCAAGATTTTGACCAAATCCCATGACTTGCATATTATTTCATCATCTCTCAGCCAATCAGAAGCAGTTTATTTATAAGTTCTATGATATTTTAATATAATCATGAAATAACATGGAGAAAAAAAGTTTTTAAAATACTAAACATCAGATTAATGAAATGCCTGTATTTCCTTAATTTCTTGAACATTTAGCTATTTATATGAAGTATTTTTTTTTAACTCATTCACCCCTGAAATTTCATAATGAACTATTCCAACCTTTGAATTGGAAGAGTTCAAATGTGTCTTCCGGGTGAATGAGTTAAATAACATCAGATAAATGAGATTATTTGATTTCCTTTATTTCTTGAACAATTTGGTATATATATATATAAATTCTTTTTTAGTTAAAAAATCATCCTTTTGAAAAACAATATAATTTCACAAAGTAAAACATAAAGATAATTTATCAAACTTCTTTGCTTTCCAGTTTTACGTCGGAATGTCCAACTCTCAGATCTACAGGTTTACCTATACGGACTTTGCATGTGAACTTGTCAAATCCTCCCACCACGGTCCAGTCACGGATATTGTTTTCCCATCGTAAGTTTATCAGATATTGACTAATATACTGCGTAGCACTTTGGTTTTGTCAAGAGGAACTTGTATAATTTGTAAACCTGTATAAACTGGAAATTCAATAGGTTTGATAACAGCAAAGTGAAAATGTTTTATTTTTTTTCCAAAAAATGAAAATATAACTTTTATGTATGGTACTTTAGTAAGTGTGCAAGCTGGACTCCCAAGTCAGAAAAATGACAAACAAATTGGAACTCTTCTTTATTGGGGATAAAACACAGTGCACAGGGACACTCTACCCTTAATTGAACTTGGATAATGCAGGAATTTATCCATCTCTCGCAAGATAAAAACAAATATGTTCTCCGGACACTTTGTCAAGATAGATTTGTTTTAAAATGATTTCATGAACATCAAAATCTATTGTAGTTCTATTTTCATAAATTGCTGAATCCTGTAAAGCTATCATGCAACTAAAAAGCAAGATTGGAATAAAAAAAAAGTTTAAGCTTCAAATTCTGACAGAAAAGATTTTCAAAGGTTTTTAATCAAAGGGGAAACTTATAGCAGCTACAGGGTTACAAACTGGACAAACTTGAATCATGCATCTGTGGGAATAACTTATTCACCCCTGAAGACACATTTGAACTCTTCCAATTCAAAGGTTGGAAATGTTCATTATAAAATTTCAGGGGTGAATGAGTTAATACAAGAGGCCCAGAGGGCCTGTATCGCTCACCTGAATATGTTTAAAATAATTGGTTTAAAGTAAAGATTTAGCACTCCATCGTAGGCGCTGTAAGTACATATGAAATTTCAGAAAGATCCATCCAGTACTTGAGATATAACAAATTTCAAACAGAGCCCCACCCCTATGCCCCTAGGGGGGGTCATACCCACCGTTTATACAAAATTGAGTCCTCTTGGTCAAAGGAAGCTCCAGACTAAATAAGGATAAGATCCCTTAATCACGATGGTTCGAAGAAGGATTTTACAGGTTTTACCTCTATTTCTCCTATTGGACCCTGCCCTTCTGCCCCCTGGGAGACCACACCCACTGCTTATACAAAATTGAGTCCCCTTGGCCCAAGGATGCTCCAGACTAAATTAGGATAAAATCCCTTAATCCCTATGGTAGAAGAAGGATTTTAAAGGTTTTACCTCTATTTCCCCTATAGGGCCCAGCCCCTCAGGTCCCAGGGGGG